TTACCAGGAATGCGATTATCAATAGACCAGGAGAGTATTCAATTAGGATGTACAAGAAATGTGATTATCAATAGATCAGAAGAGTATTCAATTAAGATTTACAAGAAATGTGATTATCAATAGATCAGGAGATTATTCAATTAGATTTACAAGGAATGTGATTATCAATAGATGAGGAGAGTATTCAATTAAGATGTACAAGGAATGTGATTATCATTAGATCAGAAGAGTATTCAATTAAGATGTACAAGGAATGTGATTATCAATCGATCAGGAGAGTATTCAATTAAGATGTAGAAGAAATGTGATTATCAATAGACCAGGAGAGTATTCAATAAAGATGTACAAGTAATGTGATTATCAATAGATCAGAAGAGTATTCAATTAAGATGTACAAGGAATGTGATTATCAATAGATCAGCAGAGTATTCAATTAAGATGTACAAGAAATGTGATTATCAAGAGATCAGGAGATTATTCAATTAAGATTTACCAGGAATGCGATTATCAATAGATCAGGAGAGTATTCAATTAGGATGTACAAGAAATGTGATTATCAATAGATCAGGAGAGTATTCAATTAAGATTTACAAGAAATGTGATTATCAATAGATCAAGAGAGTATTCAATTAAGATGTACAAGGAATGTGATTATTAATAGACCAGGAGAGTATTCAATAAAGATATACAAGAAATGTGATTATCAATAGATCAGGAGAGTACTCAATTAAGATGTACAAGGAATGTGATTATCAATAGACCAGGAGAGTATTCAATTAAGATGTACAAGAAATGTGATTATCAAGAGATCAGGAGATTATTCAATTAAGATTTACCAGGAATGCGATTATCAATAGACCAGGAGAGTATTCAATTAGGATGTACAAGAAATGTGATTATCAATAGATCAATCAATAGATTAGGGGAGTATTCAATTAAGATGTACAAAAAATGTGATTATCAATAGATCAGGAGAGTATTCAATTAACATGTACAAGGAATGTGATTAACAATAGATCAGTAGAGTATTCAATTAACATGTACAAGGAATGTGATTATCAATAGATCAGGAGAGTATTCAATTAAGATGTACAAGAAATGTGATTATCAAGAGATCAGGAGATTATTCAATTAAGATTTACAAGGAATGTGATTATCAATAGATGAGGAGAGTATTCAATTAAGATGTACAAGAAATGTGATTATCAAGAGATCAGGAGATTATTCAATTAAGATTTACCAGGAATGCGATTATCAATAGACCAGGAGAGTATTCAATTAGGATGTACAAGAAATGTGATTATCAATAGATCAGAAGAGTATTCAATTAAGATTTACAAGAAATGTGATTATCAATAGATCAGGAGATTATTCAATTAGATTTACAAGGAATGTGATTATCAATAGATGAGGAGAGTATTCAATTAAGGTATTCAATTAACAAGGAATGTGATTATCAAGACAAGGATGGAAGTTAATTAAATAGAACAAGAAATTAGAATACCAATAGCTCAGGACGATATTTCATAAATATGTACTAAAATGTTCTGAAAAGAGTATTCAATTAAGATGTACAAGGAATGTGATTGTTTTTGTAAAAACAAAAGTTAGCTGCTTATTGTATGGCAGCACTTTCCCAATTTACATATACATTTACATATACAATACATACAATAATATTTCCACTGATAAAATAGTGCTAAATACATCAAGTGTAGAGAGTTATAGAAATAGAAATAGGCTACATAAACATATAAATATATAATATATATATGGAAAGCTAAAATCGTTTCATTTTTCAATGAAAAGACGTTTTTGTCTGAATTTTGTTACAGATAAAGTTGAAGAGCCGTGTAACATTGTTGTTATGATTTGAAAGTGCCGTGCAAGAGTGAGAAGAGTGTTTTATTTTCATTTCAATATAACAGCCCCGTCACACCGAAAAGGCGTTCTTAATGAGCTGCTACGGCGACGCAAAATTAGTTCAGAGCGAGTTAAGGTTGTATGGAAGCGTGTACTAAGCGTCAGATATCGTCCGATGGGCGCCATTGTAGCCAATTTTCTCCTTTAAATCTCCACTGATTCGAGATTGGCTTTAAACAAGCGTCATAAAATCTTCATGAACACAATCAGAGTTAAATGCACCAAGCCCATAGATTTTATTAGAAACATGCTTTGGAAGGCAATATGGTCGCATATGTAGCAGTTTGAGTGCGACAGTTATAGCATTTGTATATTATGGGACTTTTTATTGCGTTTCCTTCACGTTATTCGTGAACCCAGTACAGTTTGGGTCGCCGTAAGGTCGCAAATGGTCGCAGTGCGGTGTGATGGGGCTATAACGGAGAAACTATGAGAAAAATGGAATGTGATTATCACTAGATCAGGAGGGAACCAGAAGTTTGCCACTTGCTTCAATTGAAGCATAAATATTTGTTGGTGAAATAGAATAGTTAATGTATGTGCTATATAGTTCGAATCTCACCTGATCTATTTCTACCATTCATACCAGAATCTCCACTATGTAATATTCCTCCTGTGGATTGGGAATAAAGTAAAATAGTTTAATTATTGACCACATTCTAACCCCTATTTCAATTCAGTGTCGTGGGATTTTCATATTTATTATGTTTCTCGTGATTTATGAAAAAATTTAATTGGACGAAAATAGGTCAGTTGTTTGAAGATCGCTTAGCGTAAAACTCTGAGTAACAACAACATGTTTTTTAAGGTTCTGTTTTAATATTCTAATTTTATATTTTTTCCCATAAAACCCACACGCTAGTACGAATCGTATTTCAATACTAAAATGGGGGTCATAGTATATCAAAACAGGCAATAAGAGGTTGTCAGGAATGCAATAAACCAAAATAACTTCAATAATGACTAAGATAATGACTTTAAGTAAGAGAGGATGTAACAACAATATATAATTGAAGTTACAAAAGCACAGGCCGAGGTGAAAATTCAGCTACATCAACGTGATTTTAATAAAGCAATGAAATTAAATTATAAAGTGATACTAATTATAAATTAAATAATTCTAAAATAATAGAGTATATATATTAATGTGAATGAAGTTCGTCGTTTTCTGTTTCTGTAACCAACATCCTATGAACTAAAGAGAGAGTATTAAATTAAAATGGAGAGGAACCAATATTCTGTTAAATATATATATATATATATATATATATATAATTACATATATTGATATTAAAGTTCTATTGACCTATGGGTCTACCATGGACTAAAATATTATTAAGATTCTTATTGCGTTTAAAAGCAATAACTAAATCTGTTTGAAATATATCAGGGAATTTTTATGGAGTTCCCTGTTTAGTTCCTTGATAATTGGTATTTCTTGGCAAGCTGTGCTACTGAAAAGTTCAACAACTGGAATAATTTGATAATCCACTTGGACATTAAGACCATTTAGTTGTATTGTTTTCAATTTGTTTATCCAGAAATTTTCTCGAAGAAGTCTGTAGGTTCTGTTCATGAATTTTTTCAATGTATAAGAGATAGTACATTATAGCCAGTAAAAGGAAAGAAATGAGGAAATAGAGTTTTAACATTTCATTTAAATAAATCAACATTTACTGGATAATCGTTTCATTAAAAACAATTCAACGGAAGATAATTCAATATTTGATTTGGATATACAACATCCACTATAAATGTTAATTTGGATAATTATGCGCATTTTTCCTATCAATATTGGAAGTACTCGTTTGTACTCGGAAATGATTAGTACCAAAGACCTTGATGAAACATCCTGACATTAATCTTTGTAAATACAAAGATCCCAAATTAATCCCTACGATTCCACGATTGTCAAAATAAATCTTCTGATGGGACTGTGTTCTTTCTATCTAGACTTTTTATTAATTCTATATAATTTAATTGACCTGCACTTAACGTCAGTAAACGTTTATTCATCTTCGTTTACCCATGGGAAAATAAATCATTAGCAAGAGACATTTGGAGTGGAATTCACATCACATTCACATTATGCGTAATAAGTTTTACCCCTGTATACTAGCTATGGATATGGGAAATGGCGTGAGCTATGTGGACTAGCTATGGGTAATGGCGTGAACTATGCAGACTAGCTATGGGTAATGGCGTTACCAGTAAGTACCAACTAAGAGCAATTGGTTTAATACCGTATACTATAGGAGGAAAACGTTTTACACCTGTGTCTTTTTCGCGTTGAAATATCTAATAGAGAAATGTGTTTCTTTTCAATGTATACTTACAAAATAATTATATTCTTATCAACGAAAAGACATTCTAAAACTAACAATACTATTTTGAGGCTGCTGTTCCAATTTTTATAAAAATAATGGATGAAATTACAAAAAAGTTTTACTTTGCACAGACAATAGCTAAGAATTATTGGTCCACTAGTACCGGGCAATGGTGTTATCACTGTGTACTAGCTGAGGGTAATGATTTCCACTATATACTTGTTATGGGCAATAGATTCTACTTTTAACCATTGTCACTAACAAAACTATTGTACCCACTGATTGACCTACCTGAAGAACCGGGAACATATTTGATAGATTTCGACTCCAAGCCACCATAATAAAAGGATTTGGTCCGAGCGACAGTTCCCCTGAAAAACAACATGTTATTTGGTGATGCCTTAAATTACAGGAAAAAAAACACCCATATAACCAAAAATCATTTGCTTTGTTGATTATGGTTCTACACAATTATGGTGATTACGGTTATGATTGCAGCCTACAAATGAGTGATTAAAATCAAAGTGAAAAAGTCCCCACTGTGTCATTTGATTAATTGGGATCATCAACTTTCCTGTCCGTACTTTGGTCATTAAAGAGAAAACTTTCATACTTACTTAAATACAATTTCACCTACATCATCTAATGGTGGATTCCACACAAATTGGGAAATATTTCTGGGAGTTGGATTGGAATGAGTTACCGAGTCCTGCTCGTTGGAACATCGGAGGTATTTAGTGTTAGCTGGAAGTCGGACAAACTCGCCTGCAGGATCACCTGTGTCTTTTCTCTGACCCTGAATCAGGAATGCCATAAACGCTGGTTTTCCAAAAACTGAAACTGAAAACCAACAGTCTGTTAATACCGATTTTAAACATTTTATAGTTATCTAGTTCAATGTCATATTCGATAGTGATTTTGATTTTAAAAATATATTTTTTTTAATGAATTATTAATTAGACTGTTTTAATAAATTTTTTGTATTAAATGAGGAGAATTAGAGCTCATGCCGACCTTGCGATTGGCAGATTCTTAAACCCTTCTAACACCGCCGACATCTGATGCATCGTTGTATTAAGTCGTCCTTGGTTGACGAACGAAAAGTAATAGTTGCAACCCTTTACCTTAAATCGGGGTTGATCGGGGCTATTCAATTTCTCGTGATGATCTGATGATATGATTCGCCAGTGACTTGATCCTTATGTGTTTAAGGCTGGACAGGCGTATTCATCACTAATATAGACAGAGATAATAGACTATCTCTTCAAAGTGCTAAATTATAGGATACTACGCCTTTAATTCATTAGTATATGCAATAGTCAAATTGAAATTACACTGAAGAGAAATTAATTAATAAAACTGCTAATAAGAGTGTAATTAGAGGAAGAAATAGTTAATATAACCCTATAGAACACGATATCTCCTTCTTCAAGATATAATTAGCCACCGCAATATAATATTATGCTGTGTGTGTAATCTTATTGTTTACTAATAATATTGTTCAACTTTTTAATTATAAACATGTACTGAAAGAATAGGGTAACTCGTTTTAATGGCCATCACGATGATATAGTGCAGGGCAAAAATAGACCAATTGCCAATCACTTTAATCAACTCGACCATTCCATTGAAGACTTGATGATCATGCCGATTGAAAGGATACTACCTATGGCAAATATCAAACCGAAACAAAGAAGATTACAGCGAAGGGGTAACTTCAAACTGTTCACCTAAATGGCCTAAATATCCAAAATGATCAGATCATACCTTTTGTTACAATTTACAACAACACTGCTTCCAATGCCTCACATGACATTAAATGCCATTATAAGCATCTTCAAGACCAATATCCCCATGTGTATAGCAAGAGACTTGTTACAGCTTACAGGAGAAATAAAAATCTCAGTAAAATCCTAGTCCATGGTAGGCTCGAATCTCAACAATCTAATACACCAAAAAAGTTAAGATTTGATTTTTTAGCAATTTTCTACCAAATTTGTTTTACTTAATTATTGATGTATGCTCATTTTTTATAGGTACATATAAAGAGTTTAATCTTCAGATTTCATACAGGATTTATCATCACTTTTTTTTATTAAACATTAGACTAAAGAAGGAGACTAATTCTTATTTTTCACAAATTTTTCCCAAGATGTTACTTTAATCTTAGCTTTGCATTATTAACTTTCTAATATTTCTTAACTTTTGCGCCTTATTTTAACATGAGTCTATACTTTGTGATCTAGGTCAGTGCTTTTATGAGACTAATGTTCTTATCACCGTCTAACACCATTGTCATCATTTAATAAGGGTTAAACAAAAGCAGAAAAGAGACCTATCAAACATTTACCACCGAATTAGTTTGTAACGTTAGAAATATCATTTATATTATTATATTATATTGAACTGATCTTACCTATTAAAGGAGTTCGTGGAGAATAGGTATCTCTATTAATACTGATGGTATAGGGTGCTGGTAGTGGCTGAGATGCTGTACCATGATGGTTCGGTAGCAGATTGATACAGGAACTGGACGGGGCCCCTGATGGGTAACTGTCTATTAAACACAACATTGCCGATATGACGGTTAATAATAATTCTAGGGTAAGCATGGTTATCTAATGTCGAATCTGTTATTTTCGAGCACTTTACCAACGTCTTGCCGAACAGTTTTCAATATATACAAAAGAAGGTTTGCTTCATCTATTCTTTAAAAAGAATAATCCTTCTACACATAAGTCTCGACAAGAATCCCTAAACTACAATCGATAGAAAGTTTCTCACACGGTGTCACTCTTGTGTCTTCAGCCCCTAGTCGTGCTCTAAATATTCACTCTATAATATTTACTACACATTTGCAACAATTAGCTTCACAATTTTTGTCTGAACTGTTTTCGTATTACAAAGTTCGCATATAAATATTAGGCCAAATTTCACTTGTAAATGTTACGATCATACAAGATGTAAAATAAATCCGAAGTCACATAGTTTCTAATCCGAATGCGATGAACTGTGATTATTAATATAAAACTTTCACTTCAAACATTGTTTTAACTATCAAAGTTAAGGGTCACGAAGTGGTATAAACTTTTCGCATGTTCTTTCTCGAGACTCAATTTCACTGGATAATTTGCCCGAAGATACGATTAACTGGTCTTAAAATTTTGATTAGATATTGCATGATTGATTTATTAAATTTTAATTACCATTTTTAAAGGAAAGTAGTCTAGGCTATGTCAGTTCGAAAAAAATATACCAAATCAAAGTCAGAAGGATTTCTCAACTGAGAATATTCCAAAACTCTATCATTTGTCTTAACCTCAATACTCTCTTTGTAATTTTACATTATCTTGAATTGTTTCTATTTTGATTTTTAAAAAACCTACAGAGAATCACAGAATTGATATTGGTATCCACACTTGTGGAAATATTTAGAAACGACGCATTTCTGAGCAAATTTGCTCGAATGCAATGCGTAACCTATTCTTATATATAGGCATTATACTTTAAGTTGAACACAAAGATATTTTCAGAGGGAATAATCACCTTAAATCAATCAGTCAACAAAATTGCTTTCCATGGAATTATTTTGCCAGTTCATTGTGGTCTCATGTGTTTTATTATTGGAAATAAATCTGTTGATTTAACACCAAACAAGGGAAAGTTGAGAGATATGTCAGACTAAGTAATTAAAGGATGATTAATTAACTAAATGACACCGGTTTACTTAAAGTTAATTAGAAGTTGATAAATTAGTTTTATTATTAAAAACTGATTTGATGAGTTAAAGTTTGGGCCTGTATTCACGTTTAACAGTTCCTACGACCGGCCAGCCTTATGCTGGAGGACGTTCCTGGTCTAGACACTAGAAATGTGTTGAAAGGTAATTAAATCAGCCACATTTCAGTACTTCTTCCACAATCTTTTTATGCTCAAATGTACTTTCATCGCAAATATTTGTTTCAAATCTTTAATACAGTCTAATAAAGTATTTATCACGGTTGTAATGTTACCATAGAATAAATTATTACTTGATCTCATTAATTTGGAGCTCATCCTCTTTGTATTTGAGACACACCAGACCTCTTGTGGAAATTGCAATATGAAGTTATAGAATATATCATTAGAAAGGAAATAATATTATATTATATTATAGAATAAATGAAGCCAAGATATTTTAATCATTTCTATTAAATGGTAATCAAAAATATATACAAAAAGAATGATGAAATAGAAAAATAAAATGAAATAAACAACAAAATGAACTATACAACAAATGACTCAATTTAAACTTATAATGGAAACACCATCTGATTCCTGAACTATTTATTAACCTATTGGAAATTCAATTTAGAAACTATAAAATTATGCAAAGATCTATTCCTTAGGTGTGTATAAAAAATAAGATTTTAAGGCCTGTCATTATTACCAATAATAAAGATAGGAGGCTTTTAAGACATTTTTTAAAATACTGGAAGCATCCAAAAAAACAATTTACTTTTACCTAAAGAGTTCTAGTTTATATTTAAGCAATTAGTGGTATCCAGTGTTATAAAGAGAGAGAAAACATAATAAGATATATCATACTGAAAACTATTCAAAATTCATCTTGTACAGTCAGATGGAAGTGAAATTCTCAGAATAAAACAATACAAAATGAAAAATGATATGAGAAATATCTTTACTGAATGATTGATAAATAACAAATGATTTTTTATATTAACAGTATTTAAATAGTATCTCAACATTATCATTTAAACAGTTTCTAAATATCATATAAACAGATATGTTATTTCAAATATCATTTAAATAGTATTTAAATATCATTTACACAGTATTTAAGTATCATTTAAATAGTATTTAAATATCATATAAACAGTATTTAAATATCAAATAAACAGTATTTAAATATCAAATAAACAGTATTTAAACAGTATTCAAATATTATTTTAAACAGTACTTAACCATTATCTAAATATTATCTATACAGTATTTAAATATTATTCTAACAGTATTCTAATATAATTTAAACAGCATTTAAATATCTTAAAATGTTCAAATATCATTTAACAGTATTTAAATATCACATTATCAGCATCTGAACATTATTCTAACAATATCTAAATGTTATTTAAACAGTATTTAAATATCATATGAACAGTATTCAAACATTATTTAAACAGTATTTAAATATCATATGAACAGTATTCAAACATCATTTAAACAGTATTTAAATGTTACTTAAACAGTTTTAAAATATCATTGAAACAGTATTTAAATATTATGTAACCATCTAAACAGCATTTAAATAGATTCAAACTATGGTATCTCAATTTTCAATTGAGGAAGTGTGAATCAGAATCTGACTTGTAGAATAGCTTTTCACCTATCTACAAATGTAATGTTTTCAGAATAATGCAATTCCTGCTTCTCCTCTAAAGCTTAATTTTCTGCTTAACTAGGCACAAAATTACTTTGCATCTTCTGGATAAACATTAGGTAACAATAAAATAATTTAACACTGAACCTAAAATCAGTCCCTGGTCCTTAAAACTGCCTATAAAATATAGAAAAGTTATCTCTCATGTTTTCCGTAAACGTTTCCGACCATCATCTGTAAATACAGTTGTCATGGAAGCAATACGTTTACTAGTACGAGTTGGAGTGTCATCAAAGGAATCATTACTAGAGTTAAGAGATACATTAGATAGGCTATTTTCAGACTGACGTGAACGTTTAACAGGTGGTGTTCCTGTTGTACCATTTTGATGAGACTGATGTTTGATGGCTGATGATGTTCTAGGCTGTAAACCAACACCTATAATGGATAAAAAGCAAATATTCATTTACAAAACATATAACTTACATCACACTCATAACAGATGTTGACTAGACACCAAAAAGTCTGCTGTGACAACATTTCCCTACACAAAGATAGTCAGAGAATAGGTGGATTACACCTACATAGCACAATAGACAAATTCTTAGTTGTTGTCATAAATTAATATCTTCAAAACTTATATCTTTCATTTGAAATCTTGATCAATCATCATTATGTTTTGTTGTGAATGAGCTAAGCTGTACAAGTCAAACTCATTTCAGCCTAAAAATAACACAGATATTTACCTAATTTCTGTTCAAGAGATTTTAATTTTTCTTCTGCTGCCTCACATTCTTTATATTTAGCTGTCATTTCAGGTAGTTTCTGTACATCTAGTTGTTCCTGCAGATCTCTTTTACACTTCTGATAATATTCATAACTATCTTTGTAGTTATTTATAGCATCTAAAATAAACCAATAATACTTTTTTCACCATATTCCTGTTAAAGTAACTCAAAGATTCAACAGCTTTTATCAGTATTAAGAATAATCTAACGATCGTACAAACCACTAAACAATATATCATCAGGTGTGAAACTTGATAAAATGCAAGCAATAAACATACCTATTTGTGTACATAGTGCATGATAAGCCATTGGTAGAGACTGACCAAATACAGCACCACGTAATTTAGAGATAGGTAATGCTTTATTCATAGTTCCACCAAATTTACCATTACTCCTGATTCTATCACCATCAACTGTTAAAATAGTTGGACAGTGGGAATTCTGTACTATCTGTAAATAACAGCAACAAACCCCTGACTTTACTGCAATAATCTTTAGACATCTCACCAGTTACATTGAGTAAACTAATACAGTGGCAGCACCAATTGTACTCCCACTGTATTTTCAACAAATTTAAAAATATCATCTTTATACGTTTGTTCCCAAAAATATGAGAAATGAGTTAGAATGCACCAAATCAATTCAATTTGCAAAAAAAATTAAAACCCGCTCAGATGGACTATGAGAGGTTGCTGAATTTTGAATTGATATGAGTCAATCTGCTTTACCGACAATACATCTAACTGTTCAGCTGTAAATGACATCCGTGAATTCAAGTCTAGATGCTAGAAAATCATCAAGACACATTAAAGACAATAAGAAAAGCTATTTACCTCTGTTCTGTAAGTGTTGGCATAATCTAATGTGTCCAGAATTAATGTGTCTCCAAGCAACATTCCAAAAACTGAAATCATAAGAAAATAAATAACACCTTTTTTAAGTATACAAAATATTAAAGAGGCCAGAGGGAATAGATATAGATAATACATTAAATAGTAGGCACTTTATCAAATAAAGTTGTTAAAAGGTTTATACAATATAGCGGTAGTTGCATATAATGTAATATATACTAGCATAATTTTGTAAGTGTTAGATTGGAATAGACCTTATTCATGTGTCAGCCATATTAAATCCAGAACGAAGCTCATAATGCAAACAAACATTGATTAAGCTATATAACAATATTTTCATTACCATCACACATTTCTGAGAAAAAGCAGTTTGAATCCCATTTTATCATTGATCGGGTGTTTAATGATTTTATATGGGATGATGTAATTTGAGTTATGAATCCTGCTTTCAGTGTCTCAAAAACCAGGTATGAATAAGGTCTATAGTTTTGAAAGTTCATCCTTTCTTAGAGACATCTACATTACTTATTACTTGAATTATGCTGATACATTTACACTACAGATGGTTAAATAAAAGATCAGAGTCATATTCAAATTTATTAAAGTTTCAACAGCCCATATTAAGTTTGGTATTTAATGTCAAATTTCTATCAAATGGATAATAACTGAGCATCACCTCTAAAACAAATTAGGCCTAAAGCTCTAAACAGGATAAATTGTCCCATACCTACCTATTTTACAACTGGCTTCATCTTTTGGGAATATTAACATGTCCCTAGCATAACGTGGGTTACCGCCTGGTTTCCAGTTGGGCCGATGTCGACAGTGAGGTAGAGGTCTATAATAAGTTTCAAAATATATAATACACTGCAAGATGTATATTGTTATTACAGAAAAAAACCAAAACTGATTAGCATACAAGCCCAAGAGAAAAAATTTATTCACAAAACTTTCAACCAGATTTGCCGATTTGGTTCAAATTTTAGTCTCAATTAACAACTATATTTTCATAGATCATTTGTCTAAATGGAGATTATGAAGAAGATTTGTATAAGATGTCCTTATAACCAAATTCTTTACAAATACAATAAGAGCTATTGACTTACTTTGACCAATCAGGTAAACTACGTCTATAAATAGAATCTAATGGAAGAACTTGTTGACGACCACTTGTATCACGATAAATTTCCTTGGCCTGGAAAATAAAAATACTTAATTCACTTTTGTGGATTTCACTAATTGTTTTATGAAGGTCTGGATAAAACATGGCCTTGTGATTGGATCTATCTTTGTATGTAATAACAGCTGCAGAATACAAGCATGCTTATCTGAAGTGCGTAATCCTACTTTGAGATTGGGGCCAGTCAAATACTTATAAATAATAGTACCCGAAAAAAACCGGTTAGTTAATTGCTGACAATAAAACATCTGTAAAATAACTACCTGTCAGTATGATTTGACATCCAGGACATTTAATGCTACTCAGAGATTCAGCTTGTCAAGTATTTACTATAACTCAGTTCCTGAATCACCAGAAGGAGGACAAAAAATTTACCTTTTTAGAGGAATGAGTTACAATACAATCCATATCAGCTGACATATGCCAGGATAAAACACGAGCTATATCATCATTATCAACTAAAGCTAGGTGTCCTATCTGAAATCGCAATACAATTTTCAAATTAAAAGTCACAAAAGTCATAATGATCAACAGAAACATTTTGTGGAGTTCTCATCATTGTAAAATATGCCAACAATAAACAATAAATTAATAGTGAGATAAGAAATAGTGAATGAAGTCAACTAACCTTGCCAAGAACCTCTGGTCCAGTAGGTCCAGTAGCCAATCCACACATTCTACGTGGTGTTGATAATAACTGGTCTCTTTCTTGTAATCTACTAGCTATTAACTTATCTAATGAGTTTGTCTGAAACAAATATGATTAAACTATTATCTATTTTATATAAATGAGTAATAAAACATGACCACCGCATTAGAATTATTCTTGCTTCTTGAGGCAGATTCAAACCTTTTTGACCCAATGTCACTGGTTGTCTGGCTTGAGGGATGATGTTTACTCTGATGCAATAATGTTATAATAATTACTCTCATCTCAAGGGAAATAACTTGTACTAGAATTTTTAAACATATTATAGACACTAGTTAACAAAACTACCGTTAAATGTTTATCTGCAATGTTTTGTCTTTTCAATTCACTTCTAGCCTCCTGTTCTTTTTTACTTGCTTCTTGAAGAGTTACTGAAATAAAGGGACATAAATGATAATTTCAAATTGATCATCTCAAAGTCTGACAGAACCTAATCAAAAGGCCAATTCAAGGGAGGTCACTATTATACAGAATATTGACATCTTAAAGGGTTACTTATTTTTGTTTTTTTTTTCAGTTGATATTTTAGCTCTGACACTTTAAGACTTTAATTTAAATATTCAAATGAAATCTATTCAAACACAATAATGAGGGGAAATAACCTACCTCTCATTTCATCAACTAGTTGTTGTTGCATATTAAATGTTGATTTATATAAGCGTATCTCATTCTGTAGATTGTCTCTTTGTTTAGATAACATTGCCATTTGAGATTGTTTCTTAGCATCTAAAACCAAAAATAAGCATAAAGCTTAGAAAAATAATCCAGCTGATCTTTGCTAATATAATTCATGAAGTTATATTTCTAGGTGCATTTAAATTTGAGTTCCATATTATGAAGTTTACGAGCCAAGAACAATTAAAAACAATAATGAAAGGACAAACTGTACGAGTATATATTTAGATAGCTTGCCAAGCAAGGTAATATACGTCCTCTAGCAGCTTTGATTTTAAATAAGAATATGTAGCAGTACAGTAACAATCACCAGTATGAAATATTCAACCTTCAGTCTTACACTTCTTTGGAACTTTCTAGAGGGATACTGTATAATATTACCAAGTTTCGTCAATTATCTGTCAATAATAGAAACCCATGAGACCATTTGACTAATACATCTAATTTGTAAATTGTAAATCAAAAACATTGGTAATGTCATAAGGAACACATTATAAAGTTCTATCAGTTGATAGCAAGAAAAAAATCTAGTAAGATATAGAAGCTATAGAAGTCTTAATTAAATAAATAATTAATTCAATCAGGTAGATTGGCTAACAAGAAATAAGATGATAAATAATTAACGAGTTTGTAAGGTAAGGGGAGGTCACTGCATTAACTATTTATACAATCAATAGATATAGGTGCAGCTATACAACCAGGCAAATGTCTTCTATCAATTGTAGTTTGGAACTTTTTCTGAAGGTGACAGTCAATGTGAATCAAGCAATACGACACAGACAAGGTAGAAAGACTTTACTTGGGAAATATAGCCATTGTATATTACTGTACTAACTTTAGTTTGATAGTATTGAACAGGACAGAAAGAATTATTAGTGATATTACCCTGATCTGGATAAATAAAAAGATTGGAGTGCTAGTTTTAAAAACTTTTTTTTCTGGTTTTATGAAATACTTTTGAACTCATTTGGTGCAGTATTTTTGGAGATTACAAATGAAGGAATCATGATACTATAAATTATTTTTAGAATTGTTCTAAAAATCTTTGTTATGATAATATTTTAAACTGAGTAACACTTTGGACTGTGATTTCCACCAAGGAACATTAAGAAAGAATCAATTTATTTGAAGTAGATCAACAGCCTGTGTTTTCAACCTTGGAACCAATTATCAACTAGAAAATATGTCTAGAGCAATGAATACAATACCTACACCAGGCTTACGAGTTCAAGTGACCTCTAATTCTAAAGGTCAAAGTCAGATTGATCTTAGCAATAAACAGCTAGGAAATATTCCAGTTGATATCTTCAATTTTACACATATACAGGTAAATATAACTTCTATTCCGATTTTTGATTCTCACAGGCAATTGTGAGTCGAAACAAACAAGAACAAATCCATTTAACCTTATTATGGTTCATTTTGAAACAGGAGTAAATCAATTTAATTATATTTCAGGTATTGAAATTGTCCCATAATGAGATCCATCATCTCTCATCAGCCATTAGCTGTTTACGGAGTTTAAAAGTTTTACATCTAGATCATAATCACATTGACAGTATCCCAGACACCATTGCAAACTGTAAACATCTGACAGAACTCAATCTATCAGCCAATGATCTTCAAGTATTACCAACATCGCTTTGTGGTCTGAAGAAACTCCGGGTTTTAAATGTTGGAAATAATCAATTAGAACAACTACCACATGATATTGGTCATCTTTCAGATCTCCGTCATTTGGTTGTCCATAACAACAAACTATGGTATCTACCATTCTCTGTCACAAACCTACATAAAATCTGGAGTCTTCATATAGCAGGAAATTTATTTGATCATATACCAATGCCAGTATGTCAGATGACTTCACTTCACACACTAAATGCTTCCCAGAACCGACTGACTGCTTTTCCTCCTGATTTTACAAATTTAAAGAATTTAAAGGAATTGAATGCTGCTGATAATAAATTCACAGCCGTGGGATCTCTGGTGTTTTTACATCAACTTAAATATCTGAACATGAACAACAATCGACTTCAGCTACTTCCTGTAGAAATGTCTCGACTAAAACACCTAAAGGTTCTACATGCTCAGGGCAACAGGCTGCAGTCTGTGCCAGACGTCCTTTTTAATATCCAGTTTCTAAATATAGCTCATAATGAACTGACAAGTATCACAGTAAGTCGATTACTTAAAATGGAGAATTTCAACATCGGAGATAACAAGCTTGAGACAATGCCACATGGACTGGGTCTTTTAAGAAATTTAAAATTCTTACGACTCAATGATAATCTGCTACATGATGTGTCACCAGAAATTCTTAAACTCCATAAACTGGAAACATTAGATTTATCAAATAATAAATTGACTTCATTGCCCTTAGAGTTGTATCAAATGACAGGCATTAAATCCTTTAATATCCATGGCAACAACATCATACCACCAGCTCCTGGAGTTCTCCATCCAATACATCGAAGCCATACACCTACAGATGATGGCATGTCAAGTCCTTTTGATTCAAGATCTCAGATTCAACTTTATAAATCAAACAGACTGGAACACATGAAAGCATCAAACACATTTAGGGCTACCAAGAATCATATTTCAGACAATAAATCCACAATTTCATTTCAATTGGGAAAAGATGATGAAACAAAAGATTCTCTTAACAAACATAACAACAAATTCAGATTCCTAGAGAAATTCAAGAAATCTTGGAGTGGAGAACCACTATATTCTAAATCAACCAGATCTCAAAAATCAGTTCCACAATATACATCAACCACCAAGTCAAGACAACCTCAGGGACGGACAGCTGCCTCATGGGATGTAGCTGACACTGTTAAGTCAAAGGCACAAACAGTAAGGTCTCCACAAATAGCTTGGGATCTTGAAAAAGTAGCTGAAAGGCTCCGCAGACCTCAATCTGAAAGACAAGTCCATCATTCTACAGATATGGGAAATGAAATCATTCAGACATCTCATGGACCTGTCTCTACTAAAAACCCACGAGAATCATGGGAAAGTTTCAGGTCATCAAAATCAAAGTCCAAAAAGAGGTCAAAGAACAGACAATCTTGGAATTTGAATGGAACAATAGATTCTCACACCTCTTTGGAAACATTACCTGGTTTAGATCAAACACATCCAATGTACTTGGAGGAACTAGACAGAATATCCCGCTACAAATCTGAAGGTCATCTTGAAAACCTGCCTCTTGAATCCATGAATGTTTTATCAACAGCTGAATTTCAAATTGATGAAGTTCAAGCCAATTTTTCATCTGAGGATGAAAATCATGGAGAACACCACTCAGTACATTCAATTAATTCTATCACAAGTAAACCATCATTGAAAGCAAAGACAAGCAGATCTATGAGAACTGAGAATCAAGCAGTTGATAGGATTCATATGCATTCAACCAATCAAAATCAACATATTCATGCTATAACTAATCAAATTAAAGCACAGATCCATTCAACCAATTACAATCCTGCGCATAACTGCCAAGAATCAATGTATGCCACATCCAATCGTATCAGAGCTCCAATATCAACAAATCAGGTTAAACGAAATGAAGAGCCCAATCAGAAGATATCTTCAAGAGATAGTGGTCAAACAACTGATTTTAATCTATTAGGGGTGTGTACAGAGTTAGAGACCATGATGAATAAAAAGTTACTTCATCCTGCTCTAGTGTTGAATACTGGACTGGCAAGACGGTAAGGTTTCATAATTGGTCAGATTTAGTCCTCTTATTAAGTTAGAACTAAAAAAAGTATAAAGTGCTTTAAATATTTTTCTTATCCAAACAGAATTAAATATTTTCTCTTCTGCACTAGATCTGAAGATAATTTGTGGAAAAACTACTTTCTAAAGGTTTGATACCAAAACCTGAGTGATTCATGAATAAGGATTTTCATGAATACCATTTGAAAGCAGATTGTGTTTTATTCTAGAACAACCATGTGCATGTATTGTTTTTGTTTTGTTTCTTAAAAGTTTATTATTAGTTAATTAGTTAAGTGCAAAATGTTTTTAATGACTTAGGTTCAATGAGAAAGTTTTAAAGAAAACTGATGATGGTTTGTGGAGAATTAGTAACGACCTTCACCTTGAAGAAAATCAGTATGGTATAGAATATAGTCCTGTTGAAACTTTCACCATCACTGAAAATGGAGGTCACTATGTATCGAACTACGACCATAATCTACATGTACTGGTTCCTGCTAGATCATTGGATAGAGCAGTACATGCTACCATTCAGGTTTGTTGGTTATTTCCAAATGAACTCCTGCTTTGAGCATAGCACCCAGAGGCTCTGATTGGTCATGCTTCCAAGATTGAAGGCTGTTACTGTTAAGCCAGTTTTACTGTTAACAATACAGTACAGCAGGAGAAAAAAATCCTGAGGGGTCTTACTAGTGCTCAAACTGGATTTCAACATCAAGAAAAAATACCACCATAAACATGTTTTTTAATGTAGCTGTTAGGACTGGGTAAAATAATTGAAGTAATCAATTATCGTCACTAGGAATTTATAATTTCGATTATTGATTATCAAATTTCATAATCGATTAAAGGTCGAAGTTAGATTTTCTCCATTATACCTTCGTGTGAAGACATTCTTTCACAAACTTTTGCCTTCAGCACATATATTACCCACAAAAAAAAAGAGTAATGACTGATCTCAGCCATGAATATTCAAATTATTATAATTTCATACAAAAATAACCAATGGAATAAGAAATTTGGACATGTTTTTTCTATTAAAATATTTTCATTATTCATTGACAATAGCGTGCCGTTGATAATCGATCTCAATTTGGTAATCAATACCTAGCCCTATTAGCTGTAACTGATTATCTATCAAAAATAGCACCATGAAAAAAAATATGGTTATCTTGAAGATTTTAACCTTAAATGGACATTCATTTAACCTGTGATTGCTCTATACTTACATCATTAATGCAAAATCATCTATAAATTATCCATTAACTTTAATTCAAAGGGTGGTTTTTTTTTCAAGGCATTAAAAATAAACCAGAAGGTGCTGTGTCAAGTTCAGGAATTAAACAGATTTGCTGAGAATGTGATTGAAATTGGACCCATTGTAATGTTACAACTTCTAGAAGATGTGAATTTTAACAGTCAAGTTAAAGTCACTATTCCTGCACCAAAAGCTAGGCATGGTCACCTGATGTTATTGACTATACAGGGAGACAACTCTTGTATACCTAGTTCCAGTGGTTACCAACTTAGTAATGGTTCTGTTATTTTTAATACATGGTATTTTACAAGGTAAGTTTGTTACTTCTCAATAATTTTCATTTAGATTTTAAGAAATTTGTTAATTCTTTGCTTTTGTTTATGAACCCAGCTGTGGTATTGACAGATAACACAAAGCTTACAAGCCTTGCTATAAAAACTAAAGCTAAATTTCTGATGTATTGCCATTGTGACTTTAAGTCACTTTATTGCTATTTTTATTGTTTATTTCAGACGAGTTGCCATAGTAACTAAAGCTAAATGTAAATATAAGGCATGTAAATCAATGGAACAAATTCTACAATGTCTTGGACTTATAAATGATATTTGAGAGAAGATATGTTTGATGTGTTTGTCAGATAATTTATATCATGGCAAGGAATGATGTTAATGTATATGACTGTTGACCTTATAATCTACAATAGTTTGTTCTCTTAAATTCAAATATTAGACAAGTAGATAGGTTTTAGTCTTTTTATATCTTCCTTAATGTATGAATTGTAGGTATATTCAAAAAATGTAATTCAAAAATTCTTGTTTAAGTGAATGATCTTTTTCATTTCCAACTGTTTTACAATTTACTGTCTGAATACAAAGATTATGAGGTATTTTTCACTACGGCCACTCAAACATGCAATATTAGCATAGGAGTGTACTTACCATTATAGAAAAGGAATGGTATATTATATGGTGGTATTTGTTTACGACTGCCAGGTTCGAGAGATGTTACTCGGCATTCTAAATTATATTCATACCCATCTTTACCCGGGCAGTTTTCTTGTAGTAAAATATTCTGAAATGGCGTACAGAAAAAGTATTAAAATATTGCTAGCATAGCAAATGTGGTAGCTCATGGTTTAGGGTAGGTCATATCATCCTAACTTTTTTTACCTTAAAAAGTTCATCTAGCAATTTATTTAATTGGTCAATAGCATTAATATATGACAGTGACCTGTGCCAGATAGATATTGAGATAATGAGATCCATCATTAATGATATTGTACACAAAAACCATATTTGATAGTTATCTAGTAAAGGATATTTCATAAAGACAGGATGTGGACGCTATTGAATCTTTGTCATTATTTGGTTTGAAATGTGATGAATGTTTAATACCTGTAGTGTACAAACTCCTGATATTAGTTTTAAACTTAGCTCTGTACTACCACTATTTCCTACAAATACTGGTATTTCACTGACACCACCTGTTATAGATACTGTTACCTCCCCTTCACATTCTGGTTTTAAATTACCATATGCATCCTGAAGTTGAATTATAAATAATGTAAATAATATAAATAATGAAGTAGAAAACTAAGGCCAATGAGGAAAAAGTGTGTTAATGGATCAGATTTGAGTCAAATCATTTGACACTTTGTTGACTTAGATTCAGAATATTTGTTTCAGTTGTATTGGCTAGTTCTGTTTGGTTTAAAGGACTGATTGGAACAGAAGACAATTTAAAATCAAATTACACCATATGATTATATCTTAATATCACAATATATAAATGAGATTTTATATTTGATTCCTTAGTCAGGCAATAACTTCCTACCTTTATTAATAATTTAAGAGATCTGATGAGTAACCGTGATGATGTAGATGATGTATTTGAAACTGTTGGTATTCCAGGTGAATCAACTGGACTCAACTCAACAGCTGGACCAGAATATACATCCAAAGTAATCTAAAATAAATTTCAATATCTTATTTCTAAGCAAATTATAGGAGCAATGTACTGATTTGTTTTTTGATCTCTTGTGTTTACAGCCCACTCTTGATTCGATTCCAGATTGCCACTAAAGCAAAGTTGCTCAGTTACTTTTTAGCAAAGGACTGTTAATATCAAAATTGTTCCAAATTAACCAATAGCAGACAGTCTCCAATGGACAGTATCATGTATAGTTCTATAAATTAGTATACTTATTAAGAAACTTACCATTGGACTAAAAACTTCATGTTTGGAGTCAAAATATACAAACATTATGTTATATTTACCACTTTTCTCAGGGGTTTTCCGTTTTCTAAAAAACAATTAGTTCAAAATCTCAAATCTTAAACTTGAACAGTAAATGAATTACAGTTTTATATATTTCAGGACAGACAAATTCTATCTAGCTCTCGGGGGTGGGGGGAAGCTTTATACGCTCACGTGAAAATTTGAATGTATTTTGTCGCCCCTGAAATGGAGTTGTAAGTCCTACCTTTCTTTACCCATTTGATTTAATGAAGACGTACAACGCCATGCAGTGTGCAATGACAGAAATTTTGCAAGGACAGCGGAAAAATACAATTTTTGTCTCTTCCTGCCTTAAACACGGTGCCTCGGTTTATGATTATGTCCAACCGAACAGCCCCTTCTCGTCAACCTCGATTGGCCATCAACAACCAAAGTTTTCTTTCGTTTAAAAACTACAGTGATAAAATGTTATAAGCCAAGATTACAAGACAGTCGTTCTAATGTTTGACTGATTAGTTCTGTCAACCAGAACCAGAATATTAACACTGAGCTATCATTAGTTTAAAATCACACTATCCAATAGAATGATTGCCTTTATCTAATGTGATTTATTAAAGACTATTAAAAAATTACATTGTAAGCAAATCTCAAAGACAAAGCTTATCAAAATGTGGTTGCTTTGCTGACTTTGCCAAATGCTACTGCAAATGGAGTAAATTTCAATTGTCCAGCAAAAAAGATGCAGCTGACTATTTCTATGCAGCAAGAATACAAGGAAAGTATTGTGGAATAATTTAAAAGAAACTCACTTGAAGTTAAAGACTCCAAGTTTATCATGAGATCGGTTTGAATCTGGAGGTATAGAAACTGACTGAAAATATAATACACATCTACTTCAACATATCAGTCAAAAGTGTTAACACATTTCCTTGTTGAAAAAAATGTACAAATCAGAACTTTTTGTTTCAAACAAGAAAACTTTGAACATTATCAATGTGAATGTTAATCTTTAAATTGGTAAAGCACATATTGAGATACCGAGATATAAACTTCAGTTGACATTCAACTCCACATTTACATGATAAACATTATATACCTTAGAAGGCATGGAACTAGCCCCATGTTCATATCTCCATTGTTTCATAGACAGATGACTGGCTGAAGCTGTTGATAACATACCTCCTTCTTCATTTAATACTTTTACACAAAAATCTACAAAATAATTCCTTCTTCAATTAATACTTTATACAAACATCTATACTTTTAAACAAATATCTACAAAATAACTTCTTCGTTGAATACTTTATATTCCATATATCATTTCAGCTGGTTGCATATATCTAAACGTTCTTAAACTCATCAGATAATGTAAATATCATTGTGTTGTGTGATCTCTGGCACTCAGCAGTTGGTATTCAGCAAGACATAGTGGATGACCCAGCAAGTGTTTTCGGAGACTATTGTGAGTTACAAAGATTACCTGGTAATGTTTGCCCCACTGTGATTTCTGAAGATTTATTATAATCAACGGTCAATTCAAATGCCCTTGTAGGATCAGACTGGACACTAATTCTAACTCTAGGACCTGATAACATTCCTTTCTGGAGAAAAGCTTTAGGTTGAATTTCATACACACCACTACAATAAATACAGTTAAAATTAGGGAGATAGTGAAGGGCTGTAGCCCAATACAAAGAGTTAAGATGCCATTTGACTGTTTTTACAACTGAAAATTGATTAATTGACATGATAAATAGTTTTGACACGTTTCCTCATCACAACAATTAATCGGTGTAAAAGATAAAGAGTTTGGATATGCAACAATTGAACGTAGTTGCAAGTATACATTCAAGGAAAGTAGAAAATGTAGTTGTGAAGATAACTTACGGTGCAGCAGTCACTACTAAACCACTAAACTCAGCCTGTCCTGAAGCATTGGTTTTAACTGACTGTGGTACTGGACTAAACTTTATTTTTGTATCTTTGGCTAATTGTAGTCTAATGCCAGATAGTTTACATGGGTTACCACCAGCATCAATAAGTTGTAATTTTAATGTTGGTAAAGTACTATCTGTATAAACTATTATTGGCTGAAACATATCAATTATTTCAAATGTGCACATTTCAGATCCATCAAATGGAAATTGAACAAAAATTGTAGATTCACAAATTTTTCCCACTATTTAATTCGGTATAGTAAAGCAAGACGGCAAACCTATGTTATCAATAATCTTTAAAATAACCCAAACTTAGTAAACTAGTCAATAAGTCAAAAACAAATGTTATTTATTTGATTATGAAAACTGACAGAAAACTTACCTGTTGTATATCCATGTCTAACACTTGTAAATTATTAGGTGGACCAGCTGTAACATTGATCATGATACGTTCTGTTAAATCTTTCCATGTCACTTCCACCTCCTGATTTCCCATGGCTGTATTCTCAAACTGTATTCCACGGATGACAAACTTCTTATCTTCACAAACTACTTGTATTTTACAGTCTGGACTAAAATTTTTACTGGTCACTTTGATATCTGGACATGTTTTTGAGTTTATTAACTGCAATATTCAAATGTAAATTTTTCTGCCTAAATTTATGGCCTAACACCTTATTTAACCAAAGGCTACAAAAAACGTTATTATTGTAGTTCATCAAAACTAGAAACATAGGCTTGCGGCAAGTCTCGCAAGCAAATACGCCCACCAGCAGATTGATAAAGAGCTAAATGTGAACTGTAAAACAAACTCTATATCGTAGCCTGTAGAGTGAGCACAAGCTAAAAAAGTGAAAAAACACGATATCAGAGTTTTATGCGATATCTCTAAAGAAAATCATCGGATCCTCACCAAATTCAATAGTGCACATTTTCATAATGATATTGACAAAAGATCAAAAGAATCAATAGAGAATTGTAGTCTGTAGAGTGAGCACAAGGCAAAAAACAAACGAACGCGATATCAGAGTTTTATGCGATATCTCTCAAGAAAATCATCGGATCATCACCAAATTCAATAGTGCACATCTTCATAATGATATTGACACACATACAAAAGATCAAAAGAATCTATAGAGAATTGTAGCCTGTAAAGTGAGCACGAGGTAAATGTGAATGGACGGACGGACCAACAAGGGCAACCACAATATACGCCCATACTTATGTGTGGGCGTATAAAAATTGATCTTTGATTACCTTAGTTATATCATTATTATGTTTATCTTTAATAGTAACTAATATATCATCCTCTAAAACCTCTCCTAGCTGTACACTTGGTTTACCATTACACCATACCTTTAACTGAGACTCTTCATCTGATTCTCCTCTACAATATAATATGACACAGTCCTCTAAATATCTGTTTGAATAAGATCCAAGCTAGACTCTCATTTTATCCAAAAGATAAAATAAATTTCAACTAATTTTGGTTAATGATAACAAATATACAATCAAATTATTTTGAAAGATCCATTTATAGCCTTATAGCCATATGTTATAATGTTCTATCAGAAATTGGATGAGTGACAAATACAGTTCATAATTCTGAAATCAATTCACTAAGTAACATACCCAACTGAAAATTCAAACTCTACACCAGCACCATCTATAACATGTATTTGACAGTATTTAGGTTCACCAATATGTAGTGGTATTTTAATATCTGGTAGTTTACCCTGAGATAGCAACTCTTTATTACATTTCGATAACCAATTTATCTAAAAGTAAAAATCACGAGAGCATATAACCTAGTATTACTGAAAATATCTGATCTTACAATTGTACAATTATTAAAATTTGAGAGCAACTTGATGATTGTATAATTCTTCAGCTCACAGACAGTACAATTTAGTAGTAATTAGTCATTTCTGAGAAAGATTCAACAATGCAATACAGATACTATAAACAAAGCTTCTGATACAGATGATAAGTTACCAACCTTAATTTTAGAAAGAAGTTTATCTGTTAGAGTGATCTCTCTACCACCTTCATCTAATAACTGGAATGCTGAAACACAAAATAGTCATCATTACTCCAAAAGAACTCCATAGAAGGTTTTTTTTTATATTATCTTAAAAAATAGTTAGATGTCTTTTTAGGAGTATAAGTTAAAAAATAAACCTTACTTAATAAGATGTAGAAAACTTACTAAGATTTTTAATGCTATGTCCGACAGTATCAATTATTACATCTCCGGATTTAATCGTTTTTTTATCATCATTATCATCACGATAAACTTTGATTTCAGCAACTCTCGAACTTGGTATCACCTTAACTTTTCTTTCTACTGTCTTTACATCTTTATGACCCTAGATAGTAGAAAAAATAAGAGGAAATTAGATATAAAAGATATTTTGTGCACATCCAGGTATGATTCAAAACAAACACAAACCAGTCCACTAAATTTTGTGGTAGTTAAAATAGTAATTACAATGTTAGTATAGCTAGAAATGTTTCTATAACAGTATTTATCCTACCCAAATATATAGTGGACTTCTCTAGTTTATGTTTTGAGTTAGACCCTGTTGTGTCCAAGAATCTTTCCTTGACTATACATGTCCTCTGTTTCTTATTGGGCGAAAAAAATTCCATTCTTCAGAAAATAATTGACAGATCAATATTACCTGAATATCAATTTTAGCTGTGATATAGTGAACATCTTTTATTTTTTTAACATTGATAACATCACCAGTTAAATTACCACTACCGCTTTTACTAACATCTATACTATAAGATGGCATCCCTGTAGCACCAGAAAACTGAAATATATATTAAAGATAATATCAATAAATAAAATTGTAGGTCAAATTTGAAGCCTGTTATAAAAGCATGTTTTCCTACAATTTATTCTTTAGTTGATAGAACTGAGTTCAACTTTCAGAGTGAGATATCAACATATATTTTCTAACAGCTGATAGGATAAAAACAACACAATAATATAGTGACTTACTCGTGCCAGTAATATTTGTTTTCCCTCTGTAGTCACGTTACCAGCAGCATCATGTACCTCAACATAGAATGTAGCTGATTGACCATTCTCTATTTCTAGTTCTTCTTCTGGTTTGACCATCAACATCTGAGGCTGACCTTCAATTAAAATTCCAATATTCATAATTTGATGTTCCAAAGTTACACTGATTAGTGCCATGATGGAGCTGACAACTTGCTTGTTATATTCGATTTTTTCTACTTAATCTATATAGCACATATTTCAAATGAATCTGATCCATGTTAAATGCCCAAGAAGAAAGTTCCATCTATCAGGACAAACATTATATCAGAATGATATAGAACAATCTATTACCTGGTAATAACCGTATTTTGATGGATTGAGTATCTTCTTCTAATTCTGGGATCTTGACTGATAAATTATAATTCTGAAACAGCAAGATAGCAAAATTAAGTCAGAACAGAACTGCTAAACTATCATCTGAAAACATTGTGCTCAACAAAACGCCAATCAATACATAAGGCTAACTAAAATAAGTTTGCAATATTATTCTAACCTTGCCTGTATGACTTGACACTGGACCAACGGCAACTACATCTTTGATTATCAAGACATTTCCTTTAACTACTGTTCCACCATAATTTATTTCTAAACCACTGAAAAAAAGTGATAGCTCTCAAAAAACCTCACGAAATTGGGAATTGAAATGACTCATAAAGACAATGTACAACAATAAATGATCCTTTGACAAAACTATTGGCACTGATCATTCGCAGAGTAAATCTACCCATTTACAAAAGTGAAAAAGTAATGACTGACACAGGATTGTTAAAAAATTTATGATAGAACTTACCTGGCCTCTAAAGAAGGTTTTAATTTACCATTAGGTTTGGTTACATGATTAAATTTATCTAACATTTCTAATGGTATCTGAAATGGAACACCAACACGGAATGGACCATCTAATACACCTACACTAAATTTCTCTGGTTCTGCTTCTACAAAACAGAATATAATAACATTTAATATTCAATTAATCTTGAGGTTTACATGGTATTAATGGCATGAACAAAATCAATCACCAAATTCACTTAATGTGGGATTAAAAATGGCTGTAAGAAGAATACTAATTAATAAAATACAAAAAGTAATAGATAGCATTGTTGAGGTTCAGATATGTAATGATGTATTCTAATGACCAGCTGTTAGACAGAATCTCAATGAACCTACTTTACTTTTCTAGTTTGTTTGTTTCTTATTTCAATTAAATTGCTAGAGTGATAGTGTGATATTTCTACTCAAGGGATAAGATAATACATACCAATAACATTAAATCTTATTTTATGAGAAGGTAACTCTCTACCAGCATATTTAGTAGCACCACTCTCATTTAAAACTGACTGTATTAACAATGTATGTGCTCCTAAATTCTTGATATTTTCTACAACAGAAAACAAATCAAAGTCAGTCAGATATCTATTCATGTCAAGATTAATTGTCAAAGATGCTGAAATCAGAGAGGGGGAAAAAAGCACGCCCCTTTTCAATTTTTCGCCTGAAGCAAAGGTGATGTAATGTTTACAATTGTAAGAAAACAATTTTTCTGAATCTATCATTATGACTTACCCATTTTTCGGAACCAATATGGCCAGTTTTTACCATGCTGACTTATATGAGATACTATCACTTCATCTCCATTAGAAGCTAGAACAAGATAAATAAGCTAGTTACTATTATCTAACTGTCATAGCTCATGAGTATTTCCATAGTGTCATTTATGTGGTTCCAGATCAATCATTTTCATCACCCAGGTGCATTTTCAATTAATACTTCTTACCCTGACTCAGAAACACATTTATTTTAAGAAATCAAGTTCTGACACCCATGAATAAAAATTTGCAAGAAAGAGACTTACAATGCCAGATAACTTTAAGTTCTATTAATAATTTTTTAGCACCAACTGAAGTTCCTGGAAGTTTACTGATATATTCTCCTTTCTTATTGGCTATTTCTACTTTGATAGCACCTATGACATAAAAAAAAGTTGGTAATTACATGTACAGTATCTGTTTTGCCAGTTGTTGAGCTCACAGAATGTTTTGAATAAGAGTCACATTTCTTATTGCACCTTACCAGGCTATTTAAAATGGAACATGTACTATAATTCAGCATGCTATGATGGTTATGTTCAGAGAAATATCACAAGGCCATGTTTCATATCAATGAGAATAGAAAAACGAAATAGATCAACATACACAAAACATTTATTCAATCCTCAAATACATACCGATTGTTCTACCAGCAAAACGTTTCTCATTGTTGATAACTTGCTGACCATCTGGCCAGGATACAACTAGATGATCTGGTAATCTAAAATACAGACAAATAATCAAAGATAAATAATACCAGACTTACTAGCATATGAAATCCGCTGCTAGAAAATCCAGCAAAGGTGTTAGATGGCTTCGAAATAGGCTTACAAGAACAACAACTTTATCTCTCAAGGATCTTAGTTCTTTGTCCTAACTCATCAGGACATTTTTCTGTGCAATTAAGATTGATTTACGGATAAAGAAGTTCAAAGAACACAAATTTTGTGATTTCAGTGATTCAGATCATAAATCCTGAAATTAACCAGTACTAACTTGGCCTCCTCTTCATCCGTATATTTTTTCAGTACTGTCTGTGATGCTGATCTATCTAATTTAGATAATGGTACAATTTTAACTTCATCATATAGAGATCTAGGTTCCTGGAAATCACAGATGATGTTGTCAGTAAGTTAACATAAATAAACAAATTCTGCAAAAAAATTTTCCCACCGGATTATTTTGTTAAATCACTTATATTTAAATACACAAACCTTAACAGAAACATTTCTAGTTTAATTGCCAGCATTTTCTAGACTCGTCTTATGCCTTTGTTAACATTTTCTATTATAGTCCTGTGTCTTCCAGAACGGTTTTATGCCTCTAGTAATGTAGTGTGTCCTCAAAACCGCTCTTTTCTATGTATTGTCTATGACATTTCTGCAACTATTTCATAGAAACTCACCTGAAACAGTTCTATATCTCCTCCAGTAGAATACACGTCCCCATCATAATCTCCAAATAGTAAAAATCTTTTTATTGTTCCCATTAGAGTTGGTAGCGTCCTTAATATTCTCACCTATAACATCAACAAACAAGAATTCAACCATATCTAATAGTTCATATGAATGTTATCATGAATTTGACGCAAAAATTGGAGGATACAATAACACAGCCAAACATAATAATTAAAATGTTTTAAGATCCTGAGCTATCCAAAAAGAACAAATATAGGCAAAGCTACAATGACAAATTTCATCTAAATGAATATTACGCTAAAGACCAACTGTTTGCTTTAAGCTGGATAAGATAAAGATCAGAAGGGCAATTCATTTTGCTTATGTCATATTCACTTGACATTTGCCATCAAATTGTCATAAAAAAAACTCACCAACTGTCCCTGTTTATATACTTTCCCATCCCATTCCACTTGGTCAAAGACTGACCATGGAAACTGTTTCTGCTTAGGCATGTCTGCTCGTGTTACATGACCTTTAAAACCAGTAAATAATATTTGTTTATCATATTCTTCATGGCATTCTTTTAACCACTGTGAAAATTCTTTCTGAATATTTGTTCTTCTTTCCTGCAAGGAAAGAATACAAAAAACATTCAATATAAAATATCAAACATTTTAATATATAATTGTCAAACAATGTTTTAATGTATAATAGTCAAACAAAATATCAAAATATTATTGTTAAACAATGTTTTACTTTATAATTGTCAAACAATGTATTAATATATAATAGTCAAACAAAATATCAAAATATTATTGTTAAACAATGTTTTACTTTATAATTGTCAAACAATGTTTTACTATATCATTTTCAAACAATGTTTTACTATATCATTGTCAAACAATGTTCTAATGTATAATTGTCAAACAAAATTTCAAAATATTATTGTTAAACAATGTTTTACTTTATAATTGTCAAACAATGTTTTAATATATAATAGTCAAACAAAATATCAAAATATTATTGTTAAACAATGTTTTACTTTATAATTGTCAAACAATGTTTTACTATATCATTGTCAAACAATGTTTTACTTTATAATTGTCAAACAATGTTTTAATATATAATAGTCAAACAAAATATCAAAATATTATTGTTAAACAATGTTTTACTTTATAATTGTCAAACAATGTTTTACTATATCATTGTCAAACAATGTTTTACTATATCATTGTCAAACAATGTTCTAATGTATAATTGTCAAACAAAATTTCAAAATATTATTGTTAAACAATGTTTCGCTATATAATTGTCAAACAATGTTTTACTATATCATTGTCAAACAATGTTTTACTATATCATTGTCAAACAATATTTAAAATATTATTGTCAAACAATGTTTTAATATATAATTGGCAAACAATGTTTTAATATATAATGGTCAAATGATGTTTTAATATATAATTGTCTAACAATGTTTTAATATATAATTGTCTAACAATGTTTTAATATATAATTGTCAAACAATGTTTTAATATATAATTGTCAAACAATGTTTTAATACATGATTGGCAAACAATGTTTTAATACATAATGGTCAAATGATGTTTTAATATATAATTGTCTAACAATGTTTTAATATATAATTGTCTAACAATGTTTTAATATATAATTGTCAAACAATGTTTTAATATATAATTGTCAAACAATGTTTTAATACATAATTGTCAAACAATGTTTTAATATATAATTGTCTAACAATGTTTTAATATATAATTGTCTAACAATGTTTTAATATATAATTGTCAAACAATGTTTTAATATATAATTGTCAAACAATGTTTTAATACATGATTGGCAAACAATGTTTTAATACATAATGGTCAAATGATGTTTTAATATATAATTGTCTAACAATGTTTTAATATATAATTGTCTAACAATGTTTTAATATATAATTGTCAAACAATGTTTTAATATATAATTGTCAAACAATGTTTTAATATATAATTGTCAAAGGATGTTTTAATATATAATTGGCAATCAATGTTTTAATACATGATTGGCAAACAATGTTTTAATATATAATTGTCAAACAATGTTTTAATATATAATTGTCAAAAAATGTATTAAAATATCATTGACAAGCCATGTTTCAGAATAGCATTAGCATAATTTGAAATGTCATTTGACCAGGATACAAAAACACATTACACATGTTAAAATCTAATGCTTTAATTTGATTTGTACAATGTTGTGTCAGAATTTGTCTGTGAACAAATTTCACAGCCATTTTAACAAACTTCTAACAAAGATACAGTCAAGTCAAAAGACATATGGATACTTACATGACCATCAACAACTCTGAAGAACGATGTAGTTTTATCTCTTAGTTTCATCTCAAGATCTAAGAATGTTAATTTATTGGTACTGACTTGAAATCTATCACTAGTCCATAAAACACCAGAGATTCTGTAAATATTAAACATAATAACAGAGCTAAATATTCACAAATATATTCAACAAAATAAAGCATTCACATAAATGATTATTGGCAAAATGGTTCAGTGTGGAAAGCTCAAGAGGGACCAAGAATGAAGTCAAAGAATCCAATAATTGACATATTCTGAAGACTTTAATGTAGATTCAGATTCTTTTTTTCAGATGTCATATAACTACCTTGTACACTATTCCATCCATATGGAGAGTGGCAAGACAAAATTTATGGTCTTTTACTCTTTAATCTATTTTATGCAATTTCAAGTTGTCAAGAACAAAGTTGACAAACCTAGCAAGAATAATCCATTTGTAAGATTTATCATTTCAGCTAATGACCAATCAGATTTGTCAAGAAGTGTAAATCGTGATAATAAAATGATGACAAAACTAATGAAAAATAATCAAATCTAACCTATTATAACATTCTACAGGAATATTTCTTATTTTCTTGGGTTCTGTGCACCATTCAAAACTTCAAAGAAAAATTAACATCAAAATACATTCTACCTAATAACATATCACAACAGTCAGCAGTCAGTCACATTACAGACAAGTGATGTACATGAGTTAGGGGTGTAGAAAAACATTCATCATTACACTTCATTAGCCATTTCTTTTATCACTTTCAATTTAAAGATGAATAAAAATTAAAAACAAAAAGAAGTGTTTAGATAATCTTTTTGAACTTACTCTTGTATTAATGTGTATGGAATCAGCCTTCCATTCCAATAACATTCAAACATTGGTCGTCGACCACGAGCTGGTCGGTCATTGATAGCATAACCATGGTCATCTTCTGGTTCAGCATCCACTATAATATATACAGGTATAAATATGAAATGACATTTCCCTACAGTAAATTCTGACATAGCAACTATCAACAAAAAGGCAAAAACACAAGTACATCATTAGATTAGATTATCCTCTGGTTTTAGTTAGGATTTCATTTGACATCCTTCAAAAATTTACAAATGAAAGTTATATATATCTTACATCTATAGTTGTCAGTCGGGTATGTTTCTTTATCAAACATAAATGGATGATATCGTATTTCACCTTCCACTACACTACTGCCATCAACACAGGCTTTAAACATAAAGGTACTGGTTGCGGCACGGATGTATTGAGTCTGCATGTCATCTTCTATTGTACGTAAATTTATCGTTTTGGGAGGCTTATCTCTGTTATATAAACTAACCTATGAAGGAAAGAAACAAAATCAAAGATTAATATCTAGATTAATATCTAACTTAATATGTATATTATTGCAGTGTATAGTCTAACACAGATATTTTTTGCTAATCCGGTTACCATCAAAACATAAACACAACCAGTCCAATATATTTTCAAGGGTATGAAAGGTAAAGCTTTTAAAAGGTTTGACTAATCCTTCAATGGATTAAGGACAATCTTAAATGGAAAAGAATATATATCATATAACTTCATTTTGAAGTCCCTTCAAAAAGACTGTACTGTTTATTTCTTTAAGGCACATGCCAGTAGAAGACTTTGCTCACAATAATCTTCTTTGTTCTTAAATATTACATTCTAGAAGCTAAGTCATGTTGCTCTTTCTTGTGGACAGCTTAAAGGATTGATTAATAAAAAGACAGTAAGATAGGAAATCAGACAACCAACATAGAAATATTATAGTTATTTTTACCTGATATTTTGATGCTATTTCGGTCAAATTCCAAAAATGTTTACTTTATTTGAATAAACCAAGCCGATTACATATAGATCTTATTTCATTGAGGGACCTTGACTATAACATAGTATAAAAATAAAAAATAAGTTGTAAAATTAAGACATATATACCTCAATATGAATGTTATTGAAATAATCTGCCAAAATCTTATTTTTCTCTTCTCTTTCGTTGTCAAAAACATTTCCATTAGGTCCATGGAGGTAAAAATGATAAATATGTCTGAAAAAAATAAAGAAATCAAGTCATGAGAAATCACATTGAACTTATGAAGTGTGTTTACTCTTTAAATGTAAGGTTACAAAACAAAGAACTTAATCATTCTCAGACTATTGTAATATTTTGGAGTTGATATTCTTACTCTTATTCTTATAATAAGAAATGATGATTGATTGATCAATCAGACAATAAATGGAACTTACGTTAGTTGTCGACACCAATCTATCATATTATGTTTTAAATAAGGTATATGCGCTGTATTTATACCCTGTATAACCACAGCTGTAAAACTTGAACTTTCTTTTTCTTCTTTAATAAGATTAGTTAAAATTTCATCATCTGATGTTAAATGGGTGGTATCACCTGGCTGAAATCAATATATACCTGGTAACATTTGAAAGAAAATGACAGTATGTTATCGTGTATAAAAATAAAAACTTTGGAATTCACACCAGACACATTTATTCTTCATCTCTATCAAAGGCATAAGTACACTTACATACTCCATTCAGTGGACTGCTATTAATTCTATTCAAAGTAGGTAGGCAATAATAATCAGAAGAAATCATTGGTGTTTTATTTGCTTCTTTTCTGCAAAGGATTGGCTACAAAAGATGGGTAACACCTGTTCAGTGTGTAATAGGGGATGTTCTTCAAGGACAGGATTAGTCTGAATTTTTTCCAAATGGCAAGGGATCTCAATCACACACTTGAAAACTGTCCTTATAAAGTAAATGGTTTGTGTTGCAGTTCAGTAACAAATAAAAGCACATCTGTCTATGAGTTACCATACCTTTCTGTTATAAATATAACCACTATAAATAGATTCATTATTTTTTTCACGTTGTTCAAACTCTTCTTTACTGATATTAAGTTCATGGACATCTTTAGAATCTAAAGGCTTTGTTATCATCTGAAATCAATTGAAAATTTGAAATGAAATGAAATGAAATGAAATGAAAAGCAAGATTTCTTTTTTTAATTTATCATCACTTTTCAGATTTTTAAATTCATTCAACAAATTAATCATTATATTGCAGTTGCTCAAAAACACTTGATTACAAAATGAAATTTGTAGCATGTAGACTAAGAAAATAGTAGGGATTTTGGTCACTTGTCAAAAAGTGCCCAAGGAAGTCCTTTTTATAACTTTCCAAATTTATCTTTCTTCAATTATAAAATATTCCTGGTCTTTGTAATAATAAACCAAACTTACTCTTGTGTTATTACCAATAAAAAATATAGCTTGTTTTCCTCCAACCCCAAAATAGGAGATATCACTGTTCATATAACGTGGTGCATGGTCTAAACTCAGATCAACTGATTCATCTAATACACCACCACTGTCAGCATCCCCTCCACCTCTCCTATAGATAATATACAGTGATCAAAACATTTGACAAGAATATTCAAAAAGAGTAGGAATATGAGTCATGACAGGTAATTCAACCAACTCTGACGTTAGGGTGGGGTTCGTGGGGGGGCTAGGCCCCAATAAGTGAGAATTAAGTCTCAACAAAATCTTCTTCAGTTCAACAGAGATTGATTCATTTACAGTGTCTTTGTACAAAATAAAAAAAAGATATAGATTTTGATATGTCTTTGGTACCTCAAAATTGTAAGAAATGAGTTCTCTGGGCCTTTAACTCTTCAAATTTTCTGAGTACAAAATATGAGCCACAGCACCAATTCATTCCTGACGACGGGGCTGAATTCAACCCAAGAATTGCTTATGATATTCCTCGTAGACTTAGTTCATTTATATCTACATATGATTGGACATGGTCAAGAACCAATACCCAACAAATAGGAGGATTTCAGCAATGGGAGAAGAATAAAATACACTTAAAGCGTCAATTTGGATGTCAAAAAAAATATTAATAGCTGTATATTTATAGTCAAGCACAATGCCACACAATTGTAGTAGTAGTATTAGTAGTAATAAAAGAACGAGCCTCTTCTTACAAAGATCATAGCAAATAGCAATATGAGGATTTGTACTTAAAATCAACATTGAAAGCTGAAGCCTTAACACAAATATTTTATATATTTAGAAACGTTATACTAGTGAATTTGCAACTGGTTCTTGGACTTTGGAAATATCCTTTTATATCAAAATATCATGCACACGATAGTAAATGTGAAGTTTAAATATGTTCTTGCATTTTAAACTCAACATATGGACTTCTAAAACATGCCCACCAGATGGCTTCAACACAATTGCAGGATAGGCCTTAGGATTTATTAAAGCAATCAGTGAATTGAAAAAGATTGTCAAGAGGTTTTCTAATCTTTTTATGTGTATTAGGGACAGAGAGCAAGAAAACCTCTTCACAACCACATTAAGATTAACAAGTGCAAGTCAGATATAAAGCAACATAGTGAAGAGGTGAAATCAACTGAATAGAGAAAATCTTACGCAAACATCCTCTTTTCTCTCCTAATACAAACAATGAAATATAAGAAAAGAAAAGAGTGAGTTTTAATATCTCTACACAAATTTACCGGTACACAAATTTACAATTTAAGGTTAAAATGATACAATTACAAGGATACCAAGACTTTGGTAATTTCTTAAAGTAAAATGTGTTTACATTAAAGATGGGTTTCCTTATTTTTTTAGTGTCAAATTAAGCAAACTATTTGATTAATTGGTGTTTCTAATGAATTATCATGTATTCTTAATCATATCATTATGTTCTTATTGCATATAATTAAAAGTTTTAACAAATCATAAAATGTTCATGTATTTACAGTCTGGATAAACAAAAAAAAAATACTTTTTGACCTTTCTTGATAGGTCACTCTGCTGGTAATTCTCGTCTAGTTTAGTCAAATATAAATTAATTATGGACATGTGAGACAATCTGGTATTTTTCCAAGTCATTAGAACACCTCCACTTTCTATTCATATAATTATTAGCATTTTAATTTTCATAAATGAAAATAAGGGAACCCATCTTTAAATGTAAATTGTTTCTATCAAACCACTTTAAGACCATCAAAGCTGTTTTGAATTTATTGGCAACTAACCGACAAGATTATGGAAACAGTAATTTCTTTATACAAAAAATCTGGATGTGTTCCTCAGGAATTCCCAAAATACTGCAAATTTAACACCCGCTAATGAGTAGACAAGTGAGAAAAGTCGGCACAGTCATATTTCTTGAAATAAAGTTCATTCATTCATTCTTCTTCACATGCAGCTATTATGCTTCCAATTTCAAATCAATTGAAATGAATACAAATCTGATTAGTTAGAATCATCAATATGAGGAACAATCTTTATGATAAAAATCAAGAATACATAAAGAGTTACTTACCCTCGACCATGTTTATCTCTTCGTATAAATTTTGATAATCTATAAATAGCCCAATTATTCAGTTGCCTTGGTGTCATTCCCTTACCATTGTCAATAAAAACAATGGAATTTTTATTTGTGTTCTCATCAAAATGCTGAAAATGAAATGAGACAAATCAATTACCAGGTCAAAGCTACCAAAAAAGGCAATGAGAAAAAATGGTTTTAAAACCAAACTATTGTAGCTTTGGTCAACAATATTTCGGAAATGAGATTTAGAACAGGGTTTTTTAATAAATAAAATCATTATTCTTATTAAAGCTTAATGCTATAATGAGAATAAAATCCTAATTAAAACAAACTCGTACAAGCCTTATTTTGTAAATTTTAGTGAAGATGAGATATAAAAAAAATAGCATGGACCTGTGTTTCAAAGTAGATAGTATACCCTGCCTCATATCTGAAAAACCATGTAACATATACAATTTATTCAATGAAGCTGACAAACTGATATCACTTACCAATCTAATTTGAATATTTCTTTCTCCACTATTATTTGCTGTAGCTGCCAGGGCATTATCTATCAACTCAGCAAATGCATAAGCTAAAATGAAAAGAATCTAACTTTTATGCAAAAAATTTTCTTGGTCATAAACATTTGCAAGTGCCATAGTGCACAAATAAGCATGTTATTCACCGAGCCACTGAAGCAAACTTCAATTAGCTGAATGTCATCTTACACTAATCATGCAACAAGTCAGTGACTCTCTGACATTGAGCAATATTGACAGAGTCAAAATCATTCATCTGTCTAAAATAGAAATATTGGCAAACACATCACAACATCAAGTCACATGAAAACTTACGTAATGGATTCTGTCCTTCAGATGCATAATATTCATACATCCCTCCCTTGACAATTGTATCATAATGAGGCAAGAAATTTACTCGCTCCTGGGCAGGGGCACATAACTCTTGATGAACTGATGTTAAAATATATAATGTATCTCCTTTATCTATCAGGTCTGAAAAAAATTACAAAGCCATCATTTCCATTAATCAATCAATCCATGCCAACTAAAAATTGTCTTTTTAAGTCATCTGGTGTGTTTTCACTACCGGTACAGCTATGGTAATCATTTCTTGAAGTGAAACCTTCCTATTAATGTAAATCATTATTTCTTTCCAAGAGTGTTTATAAGTATATAAAATAAATATCATACCCCATGTGTTGTCATCATGTATTTGTTCTCTATTGGTTGTAGTGATAACATATTCAGTGCCATCAGCAATCTCAAACACCTGAATTGATAATTGGGCCCATGTAGAAAAGCAAAACAATGGTTTCAATACAGACAAAAATCCAAAGATAAAGTTTACTATGTTTATGGTATAGTATTGTATGGCAAAATACCTTGGGGAGATGTAGGGCCTATTCATTTATACACTTGATTTACAAGTCACTGTTCTTTCTGAAGAAATACATTAGATTGGAGTTTTTGTTCAAAACAGAATTACATACAAATCCTTATGTGAAAAAAACCAATAATACAGTTATATGAATAAAAATCTCATCCAAAGCATGGCAAAATCAAGACTAAAAGTTGTATAGTATAACTATGTAACCAATGCTCTTATAATGTTATACGTTTTGGAGTTATCTCCCTTCCTTCATTTTTTTTCTATTACAGTATTGAAACACACAGAAGCCAGAAGGGGATTTTTTTTGAAAATTTGTTTCAGCAATGGAATCATTCCAAAGAACTGGACAACTTTCTCGAAACAAACATTGTAAATTTATCCGATATCAGGGCGAATTCTCTAATGTGTAAGCTAAACACAAACGAATGTTTCACATACAAACGAGTTCGTTTGCAAAATCAAAACAAAACAAGTCCCACGCGACAACAAAACTCTGCCAAATTCACCCACCTCTGCAACGTGTTTCTTGAAGTCCGTAAAACTAAAAAGTCCACCGGTTTGAATTTTAACCTCTGGCTTGTCAGTTGTTCGTCTGTCATAGACATAAACGAATGCATCTTCATCTTCTGAAATTTGAGATTTTAGTTTGGTAGTCGCCATTTTGTATAGTGTGAAAGGTCAAGGTCAGACGGATGGCGAAGTGTCACGTGAGAGTTTCTTATCTAGTATGCTCATAGAGTTATATTATATAGAAACTAGAGTCCACACTTATCACGTGACTCCCATAGGCTCAACGTTAAAGATTCGGGCCGTCATGAAGCGACGTCAACCATCACGATTCCGGGGAGTTAACCTCTTTCGTATAGGCCTAGGCCTAATAAGTCTGTGCCTATTTTCTCTTTTTAAGCAAAATGAGCTTTACCCACCGGGCACTTAAAGACTATTAACTCTTCATAACCTAAAAATTAATATAATGAAATAGACAAATAGATAGAAAAAAGCTTTATTCTCCGAAATAATGAACTGAAACTTGTTTTTTTTTTTAATTTTCATCTAAGGGAAATAGACATGGTACCCCCGGGTATTCACTCCGGAAACTCCCCGGAATCGTGATGGCTTACGTCGCTTCATGACGGCACGAATTTTTAACGTTGAGGCCAATGAGCCGTGATAAGTGTGAACTCTACTTTCTATATATAACTATGAGTATGCTTAAATCATAGATGACCCACTCTATTAAAACATTTTATGCAAATGATTGTATATGAATTCTTCTTTCTCTCTTCCTTTTGGGGTTTTTGCATGCCCCTATTTGAGTAATTCTTGGTCTAGATTTGGAGTTTGATGTCTGAAATTGCATTATCCTTAAGATTTGGGGAGATGATGAGAGACCTAAAAGGCGGAAGGCTAATTATAAAAATAGTCGTTTTGTGACCTTCCACACTCTTCGCGATGACTATAACCGGTGGTAGTCTACTTTCAATTTTAGTAGCTCGAAATTTTCATGTTCATCATATATTGAATTTTTTAGGAGACATTAAGGAATGGTCAGGCTTTCATTCCACATATTGGAAAGCTTTCAACGAGATTTCTGGAAAGAGTTGTAGAAGGTTGAATTTCGTGTTTTAACATGGGAAAAGATGGCAAATGAATTAATGGAGTGATTCCTGTAGGCCTAAAGCTAAAATGCTAAATTTTTTGCTAATTTTTCAAAATTTCGATTCGTTTTGTGCCTGAGTGTAACTTTCTGACAGTGCCCTAGCGAGGATTTTATTGTAGAAATGTTTCAGCTACATACAGCTGAATTAAGTTTTGTTTCTGTATCCATTGTAATAACTAGTGGATCTAATTTTCATCACTTTCTGAAGAATGTATATATTTATCACTTATATATACATTCTTCAGAAAGTGATGAAACCCACTTATTTATCCACTAGGGGCATTCGAGAGCTCAATATACCTTTACAGATTTTAGAGGGGACTTAAATAATTATTGTGAAGAGATCAGACAGCCTCCCCCTGGAAAATTATTTGATGAATACATCTGTCTGTCAATTCACCTGCATGACACCTTACTGAAAATCAGACCAATCGAAAAATAATTAGAGACTGGAGGGTAAACATCCAATACCTAACTGCGAAATAAACCGATTTGCACACATATCCACATGGGCTATCTAGACATTTAGAAAAAATCAGAGCTCAAAAATCTCCCATAGGGAAAAAACTTAGCTCACGAAATATGGAGGGTAAACGTCCAATACCTAACTTTGCGAAATAAACCGATTTGGCTTATGTTTTGGACTTTTCCCACACATGAGGCCCCAGGGACTTGGAAAAACACTTTAAACCTAATTAAAATCAATTAGGAAAAAATGGGAATTTCTTGTTACAAGGGACTGCTGCACGAAATGTGCTCATATTCAAATAAATTTTTTTCTTGAAAAGTTATGAAGCTACAAAGCTGAAATTTTGCACACATATCCACATTTAGAAAAAAAAAACAGAGCTCAAAAATCTCCCATAGGGAAAAACTTAGCTCAGGAAAAGTTGCCGATAATCTGCTCTTATAGGCCATATGGAGGGTAAACGTCCAATACCTAACTTTGCGAAATAAATCGATTTGGCCCATGTTTTGGACTTTTCCCACTCATTAGGCCCCAGGGACTTGGAAAAACACTTCAAACCTAATTAGAATCAATTAGGGAAAAAAATGGGAATTTCTTGTTACAAGGGACTGCTGCACGAAATGTGCTCATATTCAAATAAATTTTTTTCTTGAAAAGTTACAAAGCTACAAAGCTGAAATTTTGCAAACATATCCACATGGGCTATCTAGACATTTAGAAATAAATAGTGCTCAAAAATCTCCCATAGGGAAAAATTTAGCCCATGAAAAGTTGCCGATAATCTGCACTTTTAGGCCATATGGAGGGTAAACGTCCAATACCTAACTTTGCGAAAAAAACCGATTTGGTCCATGTTTTGGACTTTTCCCACTCATGAGGCCCCAGGGACTTGGAAAAACACTTCAAACCTAATTAAAATCAATCAGGGAAAAAAATGTGAATTTCTTGTTACAAGGGACTGCTGCAGGAAATGTGCTCATATTCAAATAAATTTTTTTCTTGAAAAGTTACAAAGCTACAAAGCTGAAATTCTGCACACATATCCACATGGGCTATCTAGACATTTAGAAAAAAGCAGAGCTCAAAAATCTCCCATAGGGAAAAACTTAGCTCAGGAAAAGTTGCCGATAATCTGCTCTGATAGGCCATATGGAGGGTAAACGTCCAATAGCTAACTTTGCGAAATAAAGCCGATTTGGCCCATGTTTTGGACTTTTCCCACTCATTAGGCCCCAGGGACTTTGAAAAACACTTCAAACTTAATTAAAATCAATTAGGGGAAAAATGTGAATTTCTTGTTACAAGGGACTGCTGCACGAAATGTGCTCATATTCAAATAAATTTTTTTCTTGAAAAGTTACAAAGTTACAAAGCTTAAATTTTGCACACATATCTACATGGGCTATTTAGACATTTAGAAATAAACAGAGCTAAAAAATCTCCCATAGGGAAAAACTTAGCTCAGGAAAAGTTGCCGATAATCTGCTCTTATAGGCCATATGGAGGGTAAACGTCCAATACCTAACTTTGCGAAATAAACCGATTTGGCCCATGATTCTGACTTTTCCCACTCATTAGGCCCTAGAGACTTGGAAAAACACTTAAAACCTAATTTAAAGCAATTAGTTTTAGTTACAAAAGGACGACTGCACGAAATGTGCTGAGACTCAAATACATTTTTATCTTGAAAAGTTACATAGATATAAAGCTGAAATTTGGCACACATATCCACATGGACCATCTAGACATTTAGACAAAAAAAAAAAAACAGAACTGAAAAATCTCCCATAGGGAACAAGCTAGCTCAGGAAAAGTTTCCGATCTTCTATTATAGGCCATATCCAATATGAGTTCTCGCCCTTGTTCTTTAAAACGCGTTAAATTCTTAATTGAAAATGTGTTATGGTCACAATAGAGAGATGGTTTCTTGAGGGATTTTGATAAAATATGGTGTCAGTGTTAATTACCACTTAGAGGTGACTTTGCTGCCATTAAAATGTTGGGCGTATTTCAATTATAAGTAACTATTATAGAGATAAAACTTCTTTGTGCATGATACATCTTTATAGTAAAGTTTGCCTAAGAAGAGCGATTTTGACTTTGTATATTTATCCATGCTACACTATAATGTGACGAAAACATTGGCTATTTTGCCTGAAACTTCGGTTGATCCTTTTATATAGAAAAATCCGTATAAAAATATTAGAGTACAAAAAAGATACGAAATTGTAATCTAATTTGATTGGATTGGATTAGATTGGGATAAATCCTCCATAGAAAAATAAGAAATTAAATAGAGTAGTTGGGTTGCTCGCTCGCAGCACTTGCGCTGACATTTTGATGACGTCTTTTTTTTCTCTTCATATATTATACATGTATAATTATGTATTTTGGTGTTTGTATATCTTATGGTCATGTACTTGATTAGCATAACTTGTCCATCTCGTAAACTTGCACGTACGTATATGTATTTTCTGTACAAACTGTATATTTAAAATATTGTGTAACATATTTAAATTGTGAAAGCCTGTTCATTTTTTAGTCATTTGAATATACATGTATATATTGATGATATCTCGGTCAAGTTTGAAATTGTTGATAATCGGATGGACTGTTTCATAGTTATTGCCCTCGACTTAGTAAAAACGTGTTAAATTTGGCGTGTATGCACGATTAAGGCTACAATTGTATATAATGAATATATTGATGAGATCTTGGTCAGGTTTGAATTTGGTCACAATCGGATGAACGGTTTCGCAGTTACTGTCCTTGACTTTGTATGGAACGCGTCAAATTTGGCTTGTAGACACAATAGAGACAGCAGTTTTTATCCGATCTTGATGAAACTTGGTAGATGAAATCTAAACCCAGTTCGAAATTGGTAATAAACGCATGAACAGTTATTGCTGCTGTGTGTTTCTCAATGACACCTTGTTCATGGTTTAATTTGAAGATATTATTTCATCATTTCCGGTAGAGGGAGTATGTTACCTTCCCCTGGCAAGCTATCATTTAAATTTAAGAAAAAAAACACCCATAGTGAAAGCGCCATCCAATTTAAAATGAGGGCAAAGGGAGGGGGAGGGTGTAAGATAAGATAAGATAATATTTTATTGCATAATACGCCCATTGTAGACAGAATACTATGAGTAAATTCAAAATACATAATTGAAAAAAAACATCATTTAAAAAAAGGCATTTGACAACCAAGGTACACAGAGGCGTATGAAAGTAAAGGAAGGTGAAGTCTGGCATTCCAGCAAAGATTTGAAATATTTTAAGATAAATTCAGATAAAAGAAGATATAAAAATTAAATCATTTTACTACAACATATTTTATCATTGAAGTATTCTATGGTGATTAGAAGTAAACATGACCAATACCAAAAACATTCAAATGAAGAATAGTGACAAAAGAGTCTAAGAGCTTGGTCACAAAGACATAATTCATTTATGACATTTTCGTCACTGTCGAATTCGGTGTGGATTGTTCTAATTTGGAACTCTATACGGACTCTCACAACGCGTCTTAGAACTAATGTGAATGTTATCAGCAAGAGTGAAATGAAAGATTTCTTTATATTTCCTTCTCATTGATGGATATGAAATCCATTTGTTTTTATTTTACAAAATAGTGCATAAACGTACGACGTAAAACTCCATTCATTTCATTTCATTTCTGCAAAATAGTGTGCCATACAGTTACCTGGATTTAAATTCCTCCTCCCAAAAAAAAGGAAACATGCTAGGGGTCCTAGGCGATCTCTGAATAATAAGGTAGTGTCACGAAATGTATGTTGTTTGTGGTGCATACGAAAAATTAAAGTTAAAAGTTAATGTTAATCGGACAGAATATAATTGGTGCATTCGGGCCATTGTTGAATACATCCCAATCCCTTATATAGGTAGGCTAATATTCTTCTCAGGTATATTCCATATATTCCATTTGTGTTCCCTCAGACATGTCCTTCGTATAACAAACCTGTGGAGAAAAATTTGATATAACTATGAACATACACTATTTTACGGAGTCCCTTAGGCGCAATTTACAGAAAATTGCACCTAAGGGGCACCGTAGGCACTGGATTCATGTTTACATCAATAATTAATTGAGCAGGCAACAATCTAAATCTAAATGACTAATACCACGCAGGACAATTTTCGGAAAATCACCGAATTAAAAAACACCAGCTTACCAGCAATACATGCAGTGACAATACAAGCAACATTGCTTGCCCAGATACATCTCAGACCAACTGATGCTATATCCCCGGTTCTTCTAGGTGCCATTGCTGACATTAAAGCTAATGCACTACCCAACGTTCCAAAATTAGAAAATCCACAAAGAGCATAAGTTGCTATCACATCTGTACGTTCCTGGAATATAAAACAGGCAATTTTCGAAATTCCAATTTTCGGTCGATAGTTGAAAGTGAATGCACTTTTTGCTGACAAAGACTATATTTTCCTTCAAGTCAAATGAGGAAGCTCAAGATCTAAGTAGGCTTACATGTAAAATTTTAATTCTATGGGCTTGGTCGTATTCAAGAATGGTCGGAACAATTTTTGATTCGGTACTTCCATACTGATGTTTCGATCGTATTATGATCTGTTTTCAGTCATATGTTACAGTTATACAATACATGTACACTGACTAAATAAGGTATACAAAATTACAATCAGTAATCCATTGAGATAATGGCAAAGGCATAGGTGTCGAAGCCTTGTTGACGGAGTAGACTGGTTTGCCCGAAATTCTTTCTGTATTTTTCTTTGTTTCGGGTTGTTGCCCGATATTTTTTGCCCCCCGTCTCCTACACACATGATGATTTCTCGCTATTTTGGCCCGATATGTCCCGAAGGGCCCTTATCAATGGGTTGTCTACGATACAGATTCCTTTACAATTTAAAATCAAGATAGTTTGCCAGGCAAGGTAATATACGCCCACTAGCAGCTTTGATTTTAAATAAAATATTTAGCAGTACAGTAACAATTACCAGTATGAAATATTCAACCTTCAGTCTTTTGAACTTTTTGGGGCAACACTGAATACCAAGTTTTGTCAAAATCTGTCAAGAATTGTGCCTTCTAGAGTGTTTACGAGCTAAAAAAATTGAACGCGTTATTAAGAACAAGGCCAATAACTCATACTAAACATATTTCGATGGGGTTTTTCCTTGGGTGATTAAAAACAATCTAGAATTGTGACTTCTAGAGTATTTACGAGCAATTGTGGACAGACAGACGGACGGACATTGGTGACGACAATACACACCCCCATTTCATGTGGGCGTATAGCAATGAGTAGAGAGGGATACCGTTATTGTGTTTCTCTCTACACTGTTTAGTACTTATTCTTAAGCTAAAACAATATTTTTCAACTTACCGAATAAAATATTCCCCCAGATAGTGTTTGATTCCATTCTGAAAGATAAATATCTTCGCCTCTCCACTCCCAAAGCTCTGTATTATTGTAAGTTGTTTCATAGTTATTAAGGACTTTTCTGTTGTTTAACAGAGGAATCATTTTAATATAGGCGTTCATAGACAATGTAAACAATTTTATACCAAGCAGTTCGGCTACCCTTTTACAATCATGTGTATCGACCCCCATTAAGAATGCCGCAGGAAACAATAGGTAGGAACACACTAACTGAAATCATCGAAAAAACAACATTAGGCTTCCAACCGTATCTTCTTCATAACAATTATTATCTCCTTGGTATTATTTTTAACTATTGCCATTAGCAATAATGTTAAAACTTTTTAATCATTTTCCATTAATATAACATGTTTCACTGCAGAAACATCAGAGAACATCTTTTCCCCTTTTTGTTGAAAGCTTTTTCCCCCTTTTTATTTTTTCCTTTTCCCCTTCTTTTTCAGGTCTTCCAGTTTTCCAACAGTTATCAGGTAATCTAACCAAACCAAACCAACGACTATCATTCGACTACCAATCAACAAGAGTTATGATCATAACGAGCTTGGAAGGATGAAGGAGATCGAGTAACTCACGTCACACCATCCAGTGCCAAGTTTCAGCGCCATGTCATTCGATCCGACCAGATCTAACGAAGTATCAACAACTAAACACACAACACAGAATCATTCAATTTGAACCAATCCAACTACCAACTACTACGACTACCAACGACTACCTAGTTTGCAATATCAGCATCCGCTGATTGCCGCGAATTGCTAAATGATAATATATATGCGTTTACCTACCTCAAATGTTAAACCTTCTACTCCAACTCTATGACCAGCCCATAGTAAACAGGAATTCACAAATTCTATAACAGCAAGGAAACTGATAATGGTAACAATGATGTTGGCTATTAGAGAAATAGATGCCGTGGCACCACTGGTAAGAGCTTCTACAATGTTCTTTTCTGTCCTTTAATATTTCAAATAAAATGGTAAGATTAAAATCTTTAAAAACAAGGTTGGGTCACAAATCAGGTTTCAAAATATATAAATTGAGTGCAAAACCCTAAACCATAGATGATTTTGCATGACATGGCTGTATGATTGTAAGTTTAATCTACTATAGACAATATTATTTGTGATATAATTGATGTAATTGTTCAAAGGAACCAAAATTTGGGTCCATATATGGATACCTAAGTGGTACCGGTTTATCAAAACTTTTTTTTAGTCGAACAACATACCCCACGCTCTTAACAGTGTAGTATTCATCAGTAGCTTTAGTTTTCTCAGTTTCTGGTAATGAGAGTTTTGAAATGACAAGAGCAGCTGGGGCCGACATTACAGACGCTGCTATTATGTGTCTTGCTGGGATCTTAAATATAAAATATTTTAAGAAGTTTAGGGAAAATTATTCTTCATTAGCTAATTGCAATAAACGATTAATCATAGCTAATAAGACGCCTGATAATAGATTCGAGAAGAGTAACTTGCTTCTATATCTTCAGGTAAATCAAATTTCTATTCTATTTTGGTGAGCAACTGAATTTGAGCTCATTGAGCTGGGTAATTAAAATTTATATCAAAAACTTTAAAGCGATGCGGATCACCAAGCAATATATCCATTAACATGTTTATACATATTTTTTTAATTTATACGTATTCCTAAATCAAAATGATCCGAGTGACACGTACCCCAAGTGATATACATACTGCTAAAATGGATCCCATCATGGTTGATAAACTGGATGTGATAACAGCAGCAATTTCGGACACCGTCATATCTGCTACAAATGGTTTAACTAATAGTAACACTTCGCCCTTTAACAGAATAAATTTTACTGGGTTTTTTTTTAAAAGACAAAGAGAAACAAAAATAACTAAAGGTTATATCTATATCTAAACGGAAAACTTGTGTCAACAGGACCTGAGTTAAACCTCAGCGGTCTCTTCCGGGTTACCTCCCGCTATTTTAAACTTAAAGGTTTCAAAATAAACGGATAGAACTGACCAGAGTGGTTATCCTTCACTCATACTTACCACACCTAAAAATATAGACCCGGAAGCACAAATCGATTCAGCTGGTGTAGTGACCATAAAGAAGCCCAACATTCGGCCAAAACTATTGATCAATTTCTGCATAATTCCAAGATAATAAAGTACTGACAGGATGGAGCTAACAAATATCATCACTGGGAATGCCTGAAACAAAAGACGTTATGAATTTTATATAGTTTCTAATTTATATAGTTCTCATCAATTCTAATTAGTATAGTTCTCATCATTTATAATTCATTTTGAACGAGTTATTTATCATTCAATTTCTCATCATTTTATGATTTAATTAGTTCTCACCATTTCTAATTAATATAGTTCTCCTTATTTCTAAAGTATATAGTTATCATCATTTCTAATTAATATAGTTATCATCATTTACAACAATTTATATACAGTGTAGTTCTAATCATTTACAATAATTTATATAGGTTTAATCATTTATGATTTATATAGTTCTCGTCATTTAATACAGAAGTCCTGTCCTGTAATTGTAATTGTAAATATTATAATTTAACGGGGATTTATTGTCTATCATTTAACAATACCTTAAAAGCTATAGGGTGAAGCACGTAATTTTCACCAAAGACAAATCGAGTACCAGCATCTGTGTTTTGTAATACCTCGGTGACTCTTTCACCAAACCATGTAAATGTCAATCGCCCAACGTCAGTTTTTAAAATGAATAGTCCAAAGAAATACTGCATGAGTAATCCGACAATTACAGTTTGCCACTTGACCTACAAAAGAAGATATATGAGAAATATTTACAAAGTTAAACTTGTCAGCCTACTAAACTAAAATTAAAATATAATACCTTCTTCGTGAAAAGTAGGCGTCATTGTCAAATGTTTATTACAACTTATGAACTTAAGACACTCATTAATCCAGCATAGACCAGAGATTGGCTTAACTATGCTCTGCTCTAATTGAGCATAATATGTGTTTACTGAAACCGAATGAACTAATAGTAATTGGAAAACGAAAACACTCCTGATACCAAGAATAAAGGCCAAATTATCAGTATTATGATTCAGGGCAAATCAATGATACATTTTGGTAGGTGCAAAATGCGCCCAGCAAGTCAAGGCTATTAGGGTTATTCAAACTCCTAATAATAAATTTAAAAACGGCAAAATTAGTATTTTAATCATAGTTTCGAAAACAAAAAATGAAATATCAATTTACAGATGCCAAATTTTTCAGCCATAGCTAAACTTTCGTTTTTTTGTTCAAACAATTGTTGATTTGCAGGTTTTGGTAATGGCACATGTAATAAGATTTTATTTTGCTTCTTGGTTTGAAAGAAAGAAAGAACAACTATAGTTTACAAGGATAACAACTAAGGTACATGAAGGATCCTTTCTATCAGTAGTTTCCTTGCGAAACTCCTTGGCATTGATCTTTCCCGTATTCCCGATACCCATTTACAGCTGAATCGACATTAATTATGAGTGACTTCTTCAAGGTAATCGTACTTTCCAACGCTGACCGAAATTAGAACCTACTACCACCATTTGTTCGACGTAACCAAGCATGCGACGCAATATAAGAACCAACGTACTAACCGAATGTGCTACAGACCCTTTGTTCTTACATAGATCTAATCGATTAAATCAGTATGTATACTATTGTTTGAGCAAAGTAAAAAGTTTTTGCCAGTCTTAAAATATATTGGCGTTGATTAAAATATTAACGTAAGCATATATTATATATTCAAAATTTGTTTTTACAAGAGACAATTTTCAGTCCAAATTTGTGACTTTTTTTTGTTGAAATGTCTAGGAGAAAAATGTGTTTCTTTTCAATGTAAACTTACAAAAACTACATTTTTATCAATGCAAAGACATTCTCAGACTAACTGTTCTATTTGGAGGCTGATATTCTATTTCTCTCTAAAAAAAGAACTTGACCAGACAATAATTAGAAATACTCACTCTTGCTGGGTTACGAGATGTTACGAAAGTTATAATAAGAAATACCGCTAAACCTCCAAGTGACACCAGATTTCTTGGAGTCTCCAGGACAACATAAATTATCGTCACTACAACGAGCGTAAAAACTGCTAAATAAAGAATCCTGTAATGTGAAAAATGATTTTAACAGCAGTTGCACCAAAAAGACAAATCAATGTGATTATAGGCAATGATGTACCAGTCGTGAATTAAGCTTAATTAAAATTATAAGAATTCGAAATTCTCAACCCTTTCTATCATAGGCTTGGATAAAAGGGATATATGCTGAACAGATAAAGAAACGTCGCAAAGCACAGACTACATTTGGCACAAAGGATTGTTTGAGTTATTTTTATGACATATCGACATATCAAGATTCTGATCACGTGATATTTACAGATGGAGGCTGAAAGTCAGTATCTGGTGTGTCCACCGTGTGCGGCCCGGCATCATCTGTACATGGAGTGGGAATCTGCGCCCAGACTCATAGTAAAGCTGCATTGAGTTCTGCTGCATTTCTTGCAAGCGGTTGGATCTGGGTGTCATCCAACAAGTGTTCTATTGGGTTTAAGTCCGGGCTGAGTGAGGGTCATGGCATTATGCTATGCTGTTGGAGGAAGGTTCTGGTGGCTATGGAAGTGTGTTGACGGGCGTTGTCATGCTGGCAGGTGTGGTTTCGGCGTCTTGCAAAATGCGGTATAACGTGGGGTCGGAGAACCTGGTCGATGTAACGCGCGGCTGTGAAATTAGCTAAAAAGCTAAGCTAAAACAAATCTGTTTCTGAGACTAAGTTATGATTGGTCAAACGTACGGCGAACGTGCCCCTTTAAGTAGGGGCGTAGGTTAAGTTACAATAGACTAGTTGTTTGAAGATAACACAATGTTAGTCACAATATGTTTCAGACTCTGTAATATTTCTATATCGCGAACGTGCCCCTTTAAGTAGGGGCGTAGGTTAAGTTACTATAGACTAGTTGTTTGAAGATAACACAATGTTAGTCACAATATGTTTCAGACTCTGTAATATTTCTATATCGCTCTACAATTAATTGGATGTATTGAGCATTATTTTAACAGTAAAAATATTTACTATCATACTTGTAATTAAAAACTAGAAGTTAAGCCCATTCTTTCAATGGAGATTTTAAACTTTGAGAGAATATATCACAGTTGTTTAAAAAAAATGAGCATCACAATGATTATATCAAAATGTAGAAAATTTCAAGGGGAATTACTCTAAAAGAGTGATCTAACAGAATTAAATATTCTCATTTTCATTGTCTTTGTACTTTATAGTATATAATAGTCTAAAACAATTTACTTTCTATACCTGCAGCCATTAATCGCTTTTCTTCATTATTCCAGAAAATTTGAAGCAGACAATGTAGATTATAAGTATTATGAATTTCTTCATTAGGTCCAAGAAGATTTATAGGATAACCGTTATGATCATCTTTGATTTAGTTCATTGCATATTAGCATCACAATTATTGTAAACATAACTTTAACCCTGTGCCAGTGCCTTATATTGAATAGTAACTGGTTACTCTTGAATCACCCTAATCTCTAAAGTGAAATCTGAAAATTTCACAAATGACACTTAGAACCCTTCTTAATCTCAGCCTTTCAACTAGGAATTGTTGATTAATTAATAACTGATTAGTAAATATTGATTATTTAATAAGTGATTAGTAAATATTGATTAATTAATAACTGATTAGTAAGTGATCGTTCTACTAATATCATCGTTTAGCATTATCTGTGGTATGAAAATAAAAAAATATCTTACCATTTTAATATCGTTAAATATTTAGCATTACAAGTAACACCCTTGGAATGTAGAAGACCTGCAAAACACTTATACAAATAATCCCAACTGAAGTACTTCAAAATACACAAAGCTCCTACAACTGTATAACCAACTAACCGATAGGAACCTTCGTCACCAAACCGATAATATAGAGCATAAATAAAATAAGATACATATGCTACTAATAACACTATTAATAGCAGCCCTTTTATCCAGGTTTTATGTCGTGTCAAAAACTTTGTTAATGTTCCTGAAACAAAGGAGACTGTCAGAGAACAAGCGTTACTATATACTTCGCTTTTATCCACTCTTGATTTTTTCATTTCTGTTCCAGGGTCCTGGAAAAGAAAGAAATTACACAGCACGTTTATTAATTATCATCAGGTTGTAATAGTACCCCTTTCAAGGTGACCAGTCGAGACTAAAGGCGATTTTTTATTTATTTTGAAAGAAGTGTTTACATAGAACGTTATTTTCCTATTTTGGGGATTTGTTTTGATATTATGCACAAGCAATAACTAGACTTTGAAATACAAAATAGGAGATTAAATCAAATTCAGCAACAAAGTGATCAATCAGGGCTGTTTGCGTAACATGGGAAGATATTCCTAAGACATCGCGTAAAATATAACAATTTCACTTGGAGATGTTTTGATAAAAGCTGTATTCTTACCTCAGATAAATGAGATAGTTGTAGGGTTTCTTCAATTCGGGTTTCACGTGTCATATTATTCAGATTTCGTAAGGTATGTGTGTATTCAATGAATAAGGTATGTACACGTACAAATAAAGATAATGATCCTCACACAAAAGCACACAAACTACACTATATAGAGCAAAATTTCAATATAACGTAAAGATGTTTAACAGATAGTCACGGTAATAAAACATTTATAGAAACTTTTCACACGGTTATGATTCGAACCGGAATAACCATACATACAATTTGTCCGACTTTCAATGCCATGTTACATAGCTCTTGCCCAGATATCTAGACCAAGAACGGTTGTCCTTTAACTTTTCCTTGAAAATTTTACAAAGCTTACATAGGATTCATCTCGATTCAAACCGGTGCAATCATCAGATCTAAAATTTTGACCCTACCAGTGTGTAAGTTCTCATAAGAGTATACAAGTACTTGATTTCGTTCACCTCAAAAATATTACCAATTAGCTAAGTATTTTCACTCAGCGATTCAAAAACTCGACAAATCTTACAGCGAAGCAGATATCGGTAAATCTTAAACACGGTAAATCGCTCAGCAAAGCAAACACCTAGTCATATATATATATAATCTCGACGAGTAGTCGCTTCAATAATATAAATAATGTGAGTTTTGTTAAATTTTGCAATGCAACTATTAAGCCGAGTGAAACTCTCATCACAACAGATGCTGTATAATTACTTTCAATGATCAACTCACTCATGACCGTCGATTTTTTCTAGTCGAGTCTGCATTTTTAACAAGTTCGAATATTGGACCAGTCACATGCTATGGTGAGTCCGCCTGTTGCGATTGGGAGTGCGCTCTATAAGTGATGCATCAATGCCCACACCAAACAAAATGAGATATTACGCTTTTTTGTTGATCGAAAATATTTTTATTCAAATTTGTGAAAACTATAAACCAAAATCTATACACATATCTTTAGAAATTTATCCCATATCGTATCTGAAAATATTCCAACCGTTAATTTTTTAACACCAAAACGTAGAAGGTTTAACGCTCTTTATGCTTTTTGCGAGCTGTTAGAAAACTACTCTACGGATTTGAGGTAAATAAAGGCCTAATGTCAGAGAAGTTTATTCAGAATAATTAAAATTGGTTTATTTCGATTTTCATTATAAATCCCTAACTTTGACCCATATATCATGAGTAACCAACTCCACAACAACGGCCGCAAAATGCGTCACCTTATTTTCGTCTACACTGTTTGATCTATAAATAAGTCAAGAAAAGCACTTATAAGGATACCCAGTGGAATAATTTTTATAATGGATTTTTTTTACGAAAAAGCGGAATGCGCCCTTAAATCAATCGTCAACGTATTTCAGACCAGTTTTAAAAAGGTTGTACGTGTGTTTTGTATGCAACAATGTAATGCATAGTGATATTATAACATTACTGAACCTCTAGGTCAGAGGTTTTTCAGCCTTCACATCCTTCGAGCAACTATTTGAACCTTTCAAACTCCAAAATTTGAATCAACCACACCCTACATTAATTTCTCTGGCCTGCCTACACCATCCGAAAACACCCAACCATTAGAGGTCAGCAAGAAAGTATAAGAAAACATGAATGTGTGTGCTGTCTAGTATTATTATTAAAATTATTGGTATCTTATCAAAATTCATGCCTATTATATTTCAATGTATGAAAAAGATGTTGAATGGATCCTCATAAAATTTTTTTTTTATCAGCTTTTTGTTATCGATCAAAAAATGTACGAGTTTCTAGCAAAGCTCTATGGTACATTGATTCAGTATATCATAAAAATGTGAGTTCATTTATCTTTTATCATAATAAAATATATATATATATATAGTTAAATGAAATCAATAACGCCGATAAAGATAGTTAATTTTTACTGCCAACATGTTTCAATTTCATATTTTCAAGGCATAGTAACAATACAATTAATACACAACAATATGACGTCATGATATTGTCTTTATGAGATATATTAATATGATGGATTTACACTAATGGAAAAAGAAAATTAAACAAAATGTACATTTTGGATTTTATGTATATATATATTTATATATATATGAAATATATGATATATATATTAATGAAACTCGATTAATGATAATAAAAATGATAGGAAATGATAATAGGTATATTGAGTTTTCGTAGCCGCGTTATCTCGTAAATAAATTATAAAAATGCAAATAAATTTTGAATTTTAAAGTATATATAATTACACGGCTTAAGGCTGTATTATTGAAGCTATGGATGGAAGGTAAACACGTCTGCAATCACATGACAAAAGTTTTGTCGGCTAAGTCAGTTGATCAACAACTTTACTAGTTGGTTAAAATGCATCTCATTCACAACTATACTGTTGTATTAAAGAAATATGGTCATCAGTCCTTAGCCAGACGTGATTCTTCAGAGGGACAATAATGTATGGCGGAATATATATCATAAAATCCCCTGTGGGATCTAAGTTTTACAGGCCGGTGGACAAAATGGTCAATATGGTCTTATGTATTGTCTTAATCATGGCAACTGAATCTATAATTGTCACATAACATTTAAACATAACATACTAAAAATGAACACTAGGTCTTATTTCAAGTCTGTGTTAAACTGTTGCAGACCCAACTGAGTAAGAATATTAACATCTATTATGTAGTAAATAGGTGCAATAAATTGAAGGAATCAAATCAAATCTAATTGGCAGTCTAATCTATTAAATACTTAATACCTCGAAAAGAACGGTCGCGAACCTCTCCTCTCAAACATTAACAGAAGACCAAATAAGCTTGCTATCGAAAGGGTTAAAGTTCGTACCAACAAACACACGAGTGCCCACTGAAACATTCATCACGACTATTGAAAGAGGTCTGCAGCAACTTGTCCCTAATGGTAATATCAACTATGTACACTACCAAATTATGAAAATATTGGACAAACCTAATCGCATGAAACCGAACCTAACCAAGCCTATCAAAGAACTGAAGAATAATCCTGACATCTCCATAGTAGCAGCTGACAAAGGTAAAGCAACAATTATCTTCGACACCCATCACCTGGATGAACTAGTAGGCCGCACTCAGACCACACGAAACTAAAGAAGGACCTTACACCTAAAGAAGAAAGGCAACTTATAGCCACCCTGAAATCCATTCGAGAAAACCAAGAAATAGACAAACAACGGCACCTTATTCTAGAGTCCAAGTCAAGATACACAAAGATCCTGTAAAAGTCAGATTACTTGTGTGCCCCAAGAGAACGGTAAACTATAACACTGCGAAATAACTTGCTACGCTTTTATCTCCATAGAGCAAAAGTGCTAAGTCCTATATCAAAGACTCTGCTGACTTCTGTGCTAAAATTAAATCGATTAACATGCGTGGAAAACTAGTAAGCTATGATGTTGTTGACTTTTTTACAAACATTCCCCGTGAAGATGCTATCTCATATTTACGTCAAGACATAGAACCAATCCTCAAAAAACTTACGACAAGCCTAAAATTGGACAATATAATCAAATTAATAGAGGTCTGCATCGACTCAACTTATTTCTCTTGGAAAACTGGTACCTATGAACAGATTCATAGACTCCCTATGTGATCACCCATCAGCCCTTTGTTAACCGAAGTATACATGACCCATTTCGAAAAAAATGCCCTCCAATCCACACCTATCCAACCTATTTGCTGGATGAGAAAAGTCGATTATACATTCTTGATGATGAACCCTGACGATGATCTATCACTCTTATTGAACCACCTCAACCTTATCCATCCCGCACCGCATGAAATTTACCGCTGAACATGAATCCGACAAAATACAGATACCATTCCTTGATGTTTTAGTTGATAGATCCACTAACACCCTCAGAACCTCAGTATACCGCAAACCTACCCACACAGATCAGTACGTCCATAACAGTTCTTGACATCCCACGAAAGTGATAAAAGGTATTACTTCCACCAGAGTCAGACGCGCCAACCTCCTATGTGATGAAGAATCCCTAGATAAAGAGATTAACCGCCTAAAGAATATTCTGATAGAGTACAACAACTACCTAGCCAAGATGGTAAACCAGTCTATCACTAAGACCCTCACACCCCCTTCATCAATGCACAGAAACCAACCCTCAGAATCATCATACCATACATAGTATCAGATGTGATCTTAAAACATTGAAAACTATACTAAGAGCTGTACTGGTAAGGTGTGGTTTATAAAATTAATTGTGACTGTAATGATTTTTACAGAGGAGAAACATCTCGACCGATCTCAGTCCGAATCAAAGAACACAGAACCACAGTCACAAAGAAGGATAAGAACAAATCTGCGATCGTCGAACACCTTGAAATTAAACCAGAACATAACATTAAATGGGATGAAACATAAATACTAGCCAACAACCTCTCAGAATGGAAACCCAGAGTTCTAAGAGAAGCTTAGAAATACAGAAACACAGACCCCAATTAAACAGAGACAGTGGACATTTTCTATCCAATATGTGGTCCCGATTATTTAAAAAAGTGCTATATAATTCTCCCTACTTCATCCTATCCTAATATGCTGATATCTATGTTCTGCTTTGTCGTTATAGTGTTCTTTATTATCAGATTGTGCTCTTAGTTGATTGGCTTAAAGTAATTTTCTTTCGGGTTACAGTACTTTGCGAAATCTGCACTTTGCGAAACGAAACGAAATATCAGCACTTAATAATGATACGCAGAAAATGTCACGAGATCTAATTTAATTTCCGTAATATTCAAGGTTACGATTCAGATAACACGATCCAGTGAAAGGTTAAATTCGCGTTCTGCGCCAATTTCTTTTTCTCAATTCTCATTGGCTAAAAGCAGTTATAGTCGTCTGGGTTCCCTGTGTAAAATTAATAGTGCAGTTACTGTGGTAACCATTCAATTCAAATATACTATTTCGCAAAGTACTGAATTGCGAAAAAAATATTTCGCAAAGTGCGAAATGAATATGCCTTTTCTTTCATCTATCCTCTGTTGTTATTATAGGCTCATCTTTAACCATGATTGTTAAAGTTATATCCCTTTATGGCTTCTGTGTTGTTTGGATGTTAATCATTTTAAGCTGGGTTTATACTTTTTACGCCGTCAAACGCCGTTAAACGCCGTTTTGCTGATTCCGAATGTTTTCGCAGGTACACTCAATTTTCACCCGCACTTCACCAAGAGGTTCTGCAGCTCATTGGGCCACTCATTCAACATCCCCAGACACATCGGATTCCAATCGGTCCAAAGGAACGTGTAATGATGACGATTAGGTAAATATGTGTACATTTACTTTGGAATAGAAATGTCATTTTCTAATTAAATAACTGTATTTTGTCTCTTTCACGTCTGACTAATTGTTCTGTTTGGTAATAATTCGTACTGCGAGGTAGATGTAAAAGTGTTGAATTGAGCGCTTTGGGTTGAGGTAATACAGAAGCAACTGAAAACTTTTAGATTTAACCCTGTTAAAGTGCACTGACTGTCGGGCTTTTCTAAAGGGGCTGTAAAGAGGCTTACTTAACTTTTTAACTTGATAATTGCCCTCAGTTCTGAAATAAATACTAATGGTATACTCAATTCATATCTAACAAGAAAAGGTTGGTCTACACGTTTCACCTAGCTAAAACAATTTGTCTGTATCTGCTGAACACAAATGCAAATGCTAGTCTGAAATAAACATAATATAAACATGTCATAACATGTCATAACAAAGTACGTACTGGTATTTTGAGAAGGGGTCAAGGAAGCTCATCATTTCGAAATATTGCCATTTCCTTATTCTCTGTGCTTCCTGTCCGGTATCCATGAGATATTTAAATCTTTTACAGGCCCATCCTCCTGAAAATAACAATACACAGCTTAACATGGAGTACATGGCCGTTAACAACTTGTTTTTGAAAAAACACTTTGCATGGAGAATGAACGACTTTGCAGACAGATGTTACCCGCAGACACCAAGATATAGGACAAAGAGACATATATAATTCACACTTCACACAGCCATCATATTTATTTGGCATACTAATGGGTTTTCTTCCATAGTTGTATTGTGGTTGGTCAATTCTTCTGTCATAGTCTTGATAGGGTCGACGATCTTTAACTGCATAAGCATTCTGAGAACCTAAATCTGAACATGCTGTGGCTGGTACCGTTCCAGCGGGAGTCGATGTCCATTTTGTCTGTAGTCTTGGTTGAACAAAATTGTTCATTTCAGTTTCATTTTCTCTTACATCTGGGCTACTTAAACCGGAGTGCACTGAACCATGTTGTCCAATCAATGATGTTCTGTCATTGGTATAATAAGCACTTGCCTGTCTGGAATTTGATGTATCATCATTTGTTTCTGTGTCCTCAAAGGAAACACTTCGTCTCGGTGTATTCCTCTGTCCATTCTGAATATTGCTCAGAGATGATTCACTGAATAATGGTGGTGTGATTTCGTTGTCGACGAAGTCAGGTTTCTGCGTCTGTCGTCTTTGCATGAACTCTAAATACGAAGATGAATAAGATGTATTGTGTCTGCTTCCAGCTTCACTTATAAGCTCTTCTAATCTATGTATGTCTTGTTCATACGATGACTTTAAACTTTGAAGCTCCTCTTCCAAATTCCTGATCGATGTCATCCTTCTCACACCAAAATTCATAGGGATTTCAATGAATAAATTCCACTCCAGCCACCAAAAATTTATAAATTATATATATCTCTCTATATCCTTAGTGTTACCCGCAGACACCAAGATATAGGACAAAGAGACATATATAATTCACAACAAAACAAAATATACTTTATTCAACAAAGTTGAGTACCCGCCGAGCGGAAACGGGTATCGGTACAGTAGATAAGGATACTAACAACTAGTATCTTTCATTCAAAATCTCCCTAATCTCCTCTTACTATGTAAGCCTCTCTACTTACATAGGGAATCTGTTCCTTCAGACTTCTGTGTTCTGAAGTCTCAGTGTTTCTGTGAATTCATATGACAGAGTTCCTCGAATGAAAGAAATTAAACTTTATTTATACATTTTGAGTGCCCCATAAACCGACTTGCCTGGTACTCTTATGAGTTAAAATAATACATTAAAAATACGAACCCAAGCCCTACCCTATTAAAATGCATATCACATGAAAGCTAATGACTTGTAGCATATTGTGAACATATAATAAAATGGAAATAAATACGACCCATGCTTGGCCCACTTATTTAAAGGTGAATTTCAACATGATTATCTCCCTTTAGTGAAAAATACAGTAAAACTGAGTATAAGGGAACCTAGCTGATTTAAACATTAAAATATAACAAAATAAGATAAAAATGAAATAAAAGGACAAATTGACCAAGACCAACCAATCCTGGAAATCGGAGTAGGTAATTAACAAATGAAAAATGGTCACACTACCCACGACTCCGAGAAGCGATCGCCCTCGATCGAACACAAATACAAAATCTTAAAATCTTCAATCATCCTCTCCCGTTGTTCTTACAGCTTGTCTTAGTCGTTTCTCTTCTGCTACTTCAATTGGCGGTGGTGGAGGCAAATCTTTAGGCCAGAAAATGGTCTGATAATATGTGGTGTGTCTCTGAAGAGTCTTCTTCTGTCCTTTAACCTTGTATGTGGAGACTTCTTGTGCCCATCTTGGAATGACTGAGTAAGATTTAGTCTCTCCATCACTACCAGAAACGACTTTGTCTGTCACTTTACATTCCACAGCATCTTTTAATATAGGTGTTGATGTGTGGGTGACTAAATTAACCGGTGGTATCACAGATTCCATATCATCATCTTCACTGACGACATCTTCGAAGTTGTTACCAGCTTGTCTAATCTGGCTTTTGACAAACGCCTCAAGTGCCTCATTATACTTATCTCCCTTTGGCAGATGTACTAACATGTGTCTTCTCCCGTTGTATTCATGCCTTGTCTTGAATTTCTCTCCACAGGCCTTCACTCTACATTCTTTACAATCGTCAGACTTAATCGATGGCATTGTCACGTGCTGAGGCTGATAATGATAGATCCCGTCATGCTTAAACAAGTCTTCTTCTGTGGCAAAAAGACTCTTACATTCTTCGCAGAAGTACGGGAATGCCATCTTCGCTAGTTCAGCTTGTGGAATTACCTCAATATGATTTCCGCCTTTCTCTTGCAACTCAAACAAACTGCTTTTCTCAATGTCTTCAGACACTTCCATTCTATCTTCTTGAACTGTCTCTGAATTGGTATTGAGTCTGCCAACATATTTCTTAAGTTTGTCATGATGGATAACTAATCTCTCACCATCATCAAGTCTTTCTACCAGATATGTTAGATCTGCAATCTTTGCACGAACTATATACGGTCCAGTCCAGAATTGTTGAAACTTGCCAATTAAACCAGGTCTTTTCCGCGGTATGTATACCCAAACTCTAGAACCTTCAGAGAATTCATGTTGATTTGCATGTTGATCATATCTCTTCTTGGCTCTTTCTGCGGATTTCTTTAGTGTTGACCTTGCAGCTTCGTGGACTGTATCCATACGCCTGATCAACGTGTTAATGTATTCTACTGCAGTAAAGAGGCTTCCAGGAGGCCTACCAGCTATCACATTAACAGGTATATTTACTTCTCTTCCAAGCATCAATTTATTGGGTGAAAATCTAGTACTTTCGTGTTCAGTTGAACGATAGGCCCAACATACAAGGTCCAAGTAATTGTCCCAATCATCATGATACTTCCCATAAAATGACTAATCATACTCTGTATTGTGCGATTCAAATGCTCAACTTGGCCATCTGATGCCGGTTGATAGGGTGTTGTTCTAGTTTTAGTTACTTCGAGTAAAGTGCAAAGTTCTTGAAATAGTTCTGATTCAAACTGTACACCTTGATCTGAGTGTATGCTCCCTGGAACTCCAAATCTTACTATAAAAGTTAAAAGAGCATCTGCTACGGTTGATGCCAAGACATCAGATGTCGGAACCACTTCCACCCATTTTGTGAAGTAATCTTGGACTACAACGATATAGCGATTTCCCTTCTTACTCTCCATCATTGGACCCATTATATCGATAGCTATCCTCTCCATAGGATAACCAGATGCAGATGGTTTAAGCTTTTCTCTAGCTCGCCTACTTGGATTTTTCCTCCTGGCACAAGATTCACAGCTACGAATCCGATGTCGAACAGATTCTCGTAATCCTGGCCAGTAGAAGGATTGGCTTATCTTAGAATAAGTCTTGTCTTCTTTCCAAGATGTCCACCAGCTGGGATATCATGTACTAATTCCAAGAGACTGTCTCTAGACAGTAATGGAACTACAATTTTGAATGTGTCATCCTGGTCTCCAACTGGAATCCAGCGTCTTACAAGGAGGTTATTCTGTAGAGAAAGTTGCTTCCATTGAGCCCACAATGATTTTAATTCTCTTGATTCACTAGACACTTCATCCCATGACGGTTTACCTACTTCAAACCAGGAAATAACTTTCGATAGAATAGGATCTTCCAACTGTAGTTTCTGCATTTCATTCACATCAGGAATCATCTGTATAATATTGACACTTCTTACGTCCGCATCTTCTTCGTTCTCATCAAAACAATGACACAATGGACAATGTTTCCTAGAAAGTCCATCTGCATTATTGTGAAGTTTCCCAGGGCGGTGAACAATATTAAAATTGTAATCAGCTACAACTTCTAACCATCTTGCTAGTTGTCCATTAGGATTCTTAAAATTAACTAACCATCTAAGGCTAGCATGATCTGTCCTCAATGTGAACTTTTGTCCAAACAGGTAGGGTCTAAAGTGCTGTAGAAAATATACAACGG